GGTTTGGGTTGTGTCGTTGTGCCTTTTCCAGAACGCCCTTCCCTGTGTAGCTCCAGGGCGATACGACCCAAAGAGAAACTGGCATCGAGGCTCTGGAAGGTGGGGGAAGAGCAGTGGCCATCTCACCCGCAGGCCCCCCTGGTCAGAGAAGGGGAGACAGACGTAGAGGGCGGCGGGGTCTTCCCTGAGGCACGTCCTCTTCCCAAGCGGCAGCCAGCTCTTCTCCCCTCGCTGTCAACTCGCAGGGGCAGGAGCTCTGAAGGGGCCATGGCTGTCCACAGCCTCTCCACCAGCCCCTTGTGGGGCCGCCTCCGGAGCTGACATGTACATCTCCCCCACTCCCAGGCAAGCTCCCTCCTGTGGTCCTGCCTGCCTGCCTTGAGAGGGCTGCTTGGTGACCCCCACCTTCTCCAGCTTCTCCTTTTGGATTTCTGAGTCACCAGCTCCTCCTGCAATTGTGTAAAGTCAAATTTCTATAACATATTTTGTATTTCATAATACTCACGGGGTTTTGCTTCCACGCATGAAGACTGACACAGGCAGAAATGCAACCAAAACTAACTTAAACCAAAAATGAAACATTGGCTTGAGTACCTGAGAAGGCAGGGGTATCGGCTTCAAGTATGGCTTGATCCAGTGGCTCAGTCTTATTTTCAGGGCCAGGTATCCACCCATCCCCACCCTCCAACTGCACGTGTTCAGAGCTCTCCACCCTCTGCTCCAGGCCTAAATCTGAACTGCTTCAAGTCCAGCAGAAAGAATGCTTTTTCCCAATTACTCAGGTGCAAGTTTGGGGATTGGCCAGGCATCAGTCCTGTGCCACCTGAACACGTCTCTGTGGCTTGTTGCAACTCAACTGCTGGCCTGAGCCTTGTGCCCAGGTCTGGAGTTGGCCAGAGAACGGGAGGGAGGAGAGGTGACCCAGAGGGACATCTGAGGAGAAGGGGAAACCGCCCCCCCCACACCCTTTGTGTCCCTGCACAACTTCTTTTTTCTGGCAGAATCTCCCCTGTCCCATGGTCACTCTGGGGCTCTGTCCATGGATTTCCCACCGTGGTGGCATCCAGGAGTTGTCACTGTGGCCTTGGCCACAATAGGATGGTCTCTGCTCTCTCTCTTTTTTTAAAAAAATAATTTGATATCTCTAAAGGCCCTGCTGACTGAATCTGGTTCTAATCCAGCTGAGTCATGAGCTTCATTTCTGCCGATGCCCTGTCCCCAGACCCGTGTGTCCCCCAGGACTCCTGCAAGCAGCATTTCCCGCACGTGCAGCTGGGTGTCTCCTCCTTGCTGCCTCTTTGAAGCCCTCGGGACTGGAGAGAGGACAGGAGGGGCTTCTTTTGTGCCAGAAGGCCCTTGGGGGCGGCGGAATGTGGTCGTCTTGTGGGTCCTGGGCCCCAGTGCAGTCTTGGGGATGGCGCTGCTCTGGCACGGGCGACAGGGACCCAGGGAAGGGGTCTGCCCTCTTCCCTGCAGCCCTGACTGCTCAGCCCTCAGCCGGGGCTGCCTCAGAATCTCAGGGGAAGGTTTGGGCTGGAGGGTGACAGAGCAGAGGGCCCTGCAGGCCAGGAGGGAGGTTGGAGCCCTGCTCCACAGATGATGGCAAAAACTGGCACTAGCTAACAAGGTCACCCCCAGGGTGGACAGTGGACACTCCCCTCCTCCCATCCACTGGGTTTTCCTTTGAGGAATTGCCCCTCCCAGTGCCGAGGAAGCTGCTGTCCCTTGTCAGGGAGGAGCCAGGAAGGAGAATGGCAGCCTGGGGCCGCTGTGGCAGGCTGCTGCCATGGGGGAGCTTGGATACCGAGCCTGGGGCCCGCGTGGAAGGAGGGCAGTGGCTCCTGGTGACTGCGGTGGGCACTCTGGGCAGAGGGATGGGTCCTGGCCGGAGGGCCTGTCTAGACAGTCTCAGCTGAGACCCTCCTAGGAAAGTGCCCTCTGCCGGAGGGAGCTGCCCCCCGCCAAGGGCATCCCTTGGGCCAGTCACTGTTGGGAGGCACAAAGCCAGGAGCTTGTGGTTCTGGGTGGACAGCTCCTAGGGCCACCGGCCTCAGAGCCCACCTTGGGCTCAGCTGGGGCCTTGCCACCCAGCCCTGCTCCTCATCCTCTCCGTCCTAGGGCACAAGCAGGAGAGTGCCAGCTTCCAAGGGACATGCCTGGAGCTGCTGGTGGTCTTTCTTTCTTTTTTTTTTTTTTAAAGATTTTTTTTTTTCCTTTTTTTTCTTCCCAAAGCCCCTCAGTACATAGTTATATATTCTTTGTTGTGGGTCCTTCTAGCTGTGGCATGTGGGATGCTGCCTCAGCATGGCTTGATGAGCAGTGCCATGTCCGCGCCCAGGATTCGAACCAACGAAACACTGGGCTGCCTGCTGCAGAGCACATGAACTTAACCACTCAGCCACGGGGCCAGCCCCTGCTGGTGGTCTGTCTTGAAGTGAGCAGAGCTCTGCTCTCTCCCCTTGGGCGGGCCCAACACTCTCTGTGGTTTACACCTGTTGGGCTGGGTAGGGGTTTCTGGTGCTCAGGACCAGGAATACTGCTTCCAGAACATCCTGCTGTCTGCACTCAGCCTGCTGTGGGAGGGACTCCCGCGGGGGCCCAGCTGGCAAAGGTGTGCTGACCACACATGGCACCTGTGCCCCCTGCAGCCCTGGGAAGGACCGGCCTCGCCCCAGGCTCCGCTTTGGCCTCCCCTTTCTCCATCTGCCCTCTCCTATTGATCTCATTCAGGCTACGCCAGCTGGTCTTTCCAACTGTATGAGCGAGCTGTGGCTGCGTAACAAACTGCTCAAACTCCGTGGCTGGGAACAACGACGCTGACTGTCTCACAGTTCCTGAGGGACCAGCGAGCAGCTGTGTGGGGTGACCCGGCTTGGGGGCTCTCATGAGGCTGTCAACCTAAAAACAAGAAGCCACTTCAAGAGGCAAAGCGTTTATTCGGGATCAAAGAATTACAGTTCGGGGTATATAGATTTAGGTAGAACACAAACAACATCCCGATTACGGGAGGTGGACTCAGGGCTTTTAGGGGGAAAAAGAGGAGGATGAAGTAAGTTGTGTGAGTTTCTTGGTGCTGACCAGCAAGGCTGGGCTTGTACTCATTGTCAGCACCAGCCCGGCACTGCCGTCACCAGGTGAAGTGCGCTTCTCTCATCCGTTCACACAGAACATTCTCCTTTCTGCTGACTTCTTGAAGGCTTGGTTTGGCCCAGTTCAAAGGTTCAGAAAAGGGGACACGCAGGCAGTTCCCCTGAAATGGCAGCTCCAGCTCCATTCTAAAATGGCTCCACTTACATCATGGTTCCCAAGGTCGGGCTGTGGGCCGGGGCTGCCATCTCTGATGAGCGAGTGGGGTCTTCCAAGCCCATTCATGGGGCTGTGGGCAGGAAGCTTCATTCTCACCATGCAGCCTCCCCAGAGTGAGTGATGGAGAGGGAGAGAGGGAGGGAGGGAGGGAGGGAGATAGAGATGGAGGGAGAGCGAGAGAGACGGAGAGGCAGAGGCGCTCCTCCACTCTGCGGGGAGGGAAGTGCACTGATGTTAGACCACACAGGGACCCACGGGCAGGCCGGAGAAAGGAGAAAGACTGGGAAAGCAAGACAAGGAGGTCTGGGGGGCACTGGGGGCGGGCCGCAGCGGGGAGATCCTCATGACCCACGTTAAGGCTCACCGGGCATCTGCCGAGGACAAGGCGCTGGACAGCTAGAGAGGGAAAGGACTCAGCCAGTTGATGTCCACTAGCCTCTGTCCTCAGACAGCCCAGGGCCGGCCGGTAGGTCAGGAAGGTTGTGGCGATGGTGCCTGGGATGGAGGCCACACACCACACCATCCCTCCAAGAGACAGGGCGAGATGCCTTCAGACAGAATGGACACAGTCTGGGTCTGGGCTGCCCTTCCTGCCCATCAGGGCTCAGAGTGGTCTCATCCACCATACAGGTCCCCAGGGAACAGGGCATCAGACCAAGGGACCCACTGCACAGGCCGAAGGCCCTGCCTGACACCACCCCCACCCACATCCAGCTCTGCTCTGTTGAATTCCTCATGATGACGCTGACTGCAGCCTGACGATGTTTATGTCACATCCTCCTTGTGACTGCAGGCCCGCTTCAGTCCTCCGAGGGGAACCACAGAGCACGCCTGTGGGAGAGGAGAGCAGCCTGCATTTCTCCATTTTATTCAGTGTCCTGAGAGATGGTTCAGGCTTGGGGGCATTTCCAGCTCGGTTCTCATCACTGTCGCCGCAGAAACGTGCCACCTGTTAGAGGAGCCTGGGCAGGCACGTCGCCCCTGGTGCTCCACAGGAGCTCCTCTTCTTAGCTGCAGTCTTTACACTCCTGGGCGGCACCATTGCTCCCATTTTCTTTTAAATTTCGTGGGCAGTCCTTTTAGATAAGAAGTTTCTGGAACGCAGATGATCTGTTGCTTTCAGAGATGAAGAGATGAAGGAAAACAATGTGTCCCCCAGAACGAAGCCCACTCCTCTTAGACCTCTCTCTAGACCAGGGGTCAGCAAACCACAGCTGAAACCACAGTTTCAGCTGCAAGGGCAGAGTTGAGCAGGTGGGACAGAGACCATGGGGCTGCAAAGCCAGGGACAGTTACCATCCAGCCCTAAACAGAAAAAGTCTCCCAGCCCCCACTGTGTGGGCCCTCCGCCTTCCCTGCTCCTCCCCGAGGAGCCAGCTGCCCTGCTTCTCCGTGCCTGTGTATAATTCATGACCAGAGCGTGCTGATGCTAGGCGGTCAGAGTGCCATCTTTTTCTCCTTGCTGCCAGAGCAAGGGGCTTTTAATCTTGGGCGTGATGTCCAGGCCCTAGCCTAACCCTAACCCTGCTCTGCATTTCCCTTCTCTGAACTTGAAACAACCCTCAATCATGAGCGGTACTTGCTATGTTTGTGCCTTCCGGTCAAATGTCTTTTTGTTTTTGTGGGAAGGATGTTTCATAACTGCTCTTGCAATAGAATCCTGGCAGACGGAACATGGCCTTCTTGTGAAATGTGTGGTTCTCCCCTCGAAGGGAAGGAGTCACGGGGGGACAATGTGGGCAGAGACGTTTTGTCAGAAGCCTGTTTTGTGAACTACTTCACCTTAAATGACGTTCCCACAGAGGCCCTGCGACGCCGGGAAACCAAAACCAGCCAGTCCTAGCCGGTCCACCAGACAGCTCTGCAGTCATCGCTGTCTCATGAAATATTCACCACCCCTCAGTAGGCTTATCATCAAGGAGACGGCTCTCGCGCCAGAAGGCACCCGAGGGAAGGAGCACTGGAGAAGGGTCTGCACACAGCTGCTGACACCCAGCTGCTGACACGGGTGGGTCTCCGCCACCACTGCCGGTTCACCAGGGTCCCAGCCTCGTCTCCGGGGTTGTGGCAGGGGTAGCAAGCCTCCGCCTGCAGCCAGCTCTCACCCAGCGCTAACTACCGCCGGCTCTGAGGCTGTAGCCATGGAGGGTGGAGGGCTGTGCCCCCTGCAGTGCGCCGTCCAGCGGGCCAGAGCCACTGTGTCAGTGGTCCCAGCTGCTGCCCTGTCTTTGATGCCTAGGTGCTGGCTGTGTTGGAGGAGAGGCTCCAGCTATCTCTGTTCTTATCACTGTCCTGAAGAAACGATTGCGTGCTGCCCCATACAAGGGACTCTCATGGGGTCTGACTCCTTCCCCATAGCAGCTAGAGACCTCCGGATGGTGGGATAGTGAGACGGGGACATCCTTCAGCCTGTGGACCCACAGCACTGCTGGCAGGCTCCTTTGTGGAGAGGCAGGGGCAGGTGAAGGCAGGGGGCCTTCCAGAGGAGAGGGCTCTGGGCAGGAGTCTGGACACTAGGTCATCGCTCCCAGGGGAGGAAAAGAGCAGGTGGCTGGTCAGCCAGGAGTTGGCTGGCAGCCCTGGGCCCCAGACTGGAGAGGCCACAGGACCGTCTTCACTCCTCTGGATGCCCAGGGGGCCCAGGAGTAGTCTCCGGGCGAGGAAGGAGAGGACAGAGCCCTTTGTGGGGTGAGAGAATTGGGCTGCTGGTTTGGACCTTTGGGGAAAGCCGGTCAGCTTCTCAGGAGTCAGAATGCAGTCGCTGCCAGTCCTCCAGCCAGGAGGACTGAGAAGGGCAGTTCCACCAGGGTTGAGTTTAGATGGCTGTGCATCCGGTGGCCAGCACCTGCTGCGGGATGTGCTGTGTGGGTGAAGCTTTCTGGCTCCTCCTGCCCCCTTGGGTCCTGCCTTACTGGGAATGGTCTCTTGGCTTTGGGTCGGCCAGGAAGACGGAAGTGAGGGCGGCTGCAGGAGTCTGCGAAAGGGCTCCCGAGGCCTGGATGGGAAGTGGCTCACCCAGCCCCAGGGCCACGTGGCTCTGGCGCCCCCCTCTCCCCCGACTCCCGCTGACACGCTCCGTCCTCTTCCCTGCCCCTGCCTGGCAGGTGCGGTAGGGCTTTGAGGACATCGCCGCCATCGCGCATTTAAACGCTGAGAAACTTGCCACTAGCCCCTCAGGAGGCAAACACCCGTGTGAGTGCTGGGTCGGGGGTCTCCGGGGAGGATGCACCTCGCAGGTCGGGGGTTTCGGGGAGGTCCGGCTCGTGCAGGTTGGTCCTTGGCTCTCTCGGCGGGCGCGGGATGCAGAGGGCTGGCTCTGCGGGGCCGAGTGACGCAGAGCGCGCTGCGGGCGACGCGGACTGTGCGGGGTGCGGGGTGCGGGGCGCACGCTCGGCCGGAGATGCGGCGGTCCCACGGGGCCAGGGCGGCCGTCCTGCGCAGCGGCGCGAGGGACGCAGGTACGCGCCCGGGTGATGGACAACACCGGGGTGCGGCGACCAGGTAGCGGGACTGGCGCTGGGGCGGAGGCGCGGGCCGGGGGAGGCTGCGCCAGGGTCCAGGGGCGCGGGCTGGGGGAGGATGGGTGCGCAGCCCCGGGGTGAGTGCGCGGCGGGGCGCGGAGACCTAGACGCTGGCCGGGGTGCTGGTGCCGGCGCGAGCGCGCGAGCTGCGGCGCCGCTGGAGCGCGGGGCCGAGGCAGGCCAGCGGCTCACGGCGTGGGCCCGGGCGCAGGCGGGGACGCGGGCACGGGCTGGGCTGCCGGGTGCGGGGGCGCGGAGACCGAGGCTGCGGCACCACCTGGGCTATGACACGGGGCGCAGGGGCGCGGGCGCTGCGACAGAGCCTGGGTTCCGTCTGCCCGGGGACGCTGTGCCCCGACTTGGCGAAATAGAGACTTAGCCCATCTCAGACTCCCGCTCTGAACCCGGTTCAAGACCACAGGGCCACTTCTGTCCGCTGGTCGTTCCTTTGCACCTCCTTTGCATCCAACTATTTATTGTCTCAAAAGTCCTTTCACAGCCAGGACTTCACAGGGTGCTGGACCTCAGCAGAGGCAGGGAGCAGCTGCACGGTTTAGAGAGAGAGGCAGAGAGGGCAGTGCATGTCAGGCCGCTGCTGGCCAGTGTGTCTATGGCCAGCCCCCCAAATAAAGTCCAGTGTGTCTACGGCTAGCCCCCCATATAAAGCCTACTGTGCCCACAGCCAGCCCCCTGGTGTAAAGTCTGTTGTTTTATTTCCTGGTGAATCTTTTCAGCTGGGGCAGGTGGAGTACAAGGAGGAGCCCCGGTCCTTGTGAGTCCCATGGTCCTGGGCCCACATGGCAGCTGTAAAAAGCTGTGTCCAGGAGTTTTATTTTCTGTGGCCTTGGTGTCTATTCTGGACGGTGGGGGTGGTTTACACCAGGGAGGCATTCTTTCAGCTGTGCCCCTGGAACACAGCAACCTGGGAGTGAGGCGCAGCCTGTCTGCAGAAGCTGCTGGAGGCTGAAACCGAGGGGCATGGCCAGCCCCTCCCCCGTGCACCTGTGCTTGCTTCCTGTGGGCCCAACAGGACCTCCCTCCTACTGCGGATTGCTCAGTGCAGAGCCCAGATTTGGACATTCGCCCCGCATCGGCCTTGGCCCTGTTCAGGCCCACACCCTCTATGGCAACAGCCACAGGTTCTCATGAGGTGCCCTGGGCCAGACGACATTTGTAGGTGTGCATTTTGTATGACTGTGTATTTAGGCCTGTGTGCTGTCAAATTCTTTCTTTCTTTCTATCTATCTATCTATCTATCTCTCTCTCTATTATCTATCTAGCTATCTGTCATCTACTTTCTTGGAAGTCAATTACTTTTGAAGCTTTCTCAACACACACCTGTGCCATTTGCTTATGGAGAATCTTAGCTATGAACCAGGGTGGCCAAAATTGCTTTTAGGTGATGTGTGAAGAAAGGGACTGATGATGCGATTCTGGGGAGAAGGACCCCAGAGGTTAAATGGGGGACTTTATAAGGTCATTGTCAGCCCTGGGTTTCTAGACTCTTCCATGGCCCAGACGGGTGGACAGGGGCAGGTGCGAGGAGGAGCAGGAGGAGGAGAGGGAGGGTCTGGCCAGCGTCTCCCACACAGCTGGGCATGGGGACGGTTACCGTGTGGCTCCAGCCCTGCCTTGCCCGGTCTGACGGGGTGGCGGGCGGAGGGAGTGGCGTTTGACACATTTCCCAGGAGGCTGTTGGCAGGTGGGACTGGAGGAAATGTGCACAGGACCCTGATGGGTGCTCTGAGATGGCAGCTGTCCGAAAACTGGGTACGTGAGCAAGAGCACTTCAGAGTTTCTTAAGACAAAGTCCTTTACGGCACATACTGCTGTCTGCCACTCGGCCCATTTCACTCCCACCATCCTGTCGCCCTTGTCCTGTGCAGGGCCGAGCCCTGGAGACGGTGACAGGAGCCGCCTCTAGTCCAGAGCCCCTCACAGGCCAGCTGTCTGACTGTGAGCTTTTGGGAGCCTCAGTTTCCGCTTCTGTCAACTGGGAACACTGCTTGCCATCTGCTTCCTTTGGAAGCTGGCTGTGAGGCCAGGTGAGCTGCTGTTCAGGACGCAGGTGGCCCAATAAGGGCCGCACAGGTATAAGGCGTGGCCTCCACCATGAATGCTGTGCAGGGAGGCCCCTGGGTGGGGCCACTGGGCCGGCACTGGTCACTGGTGTGTCTCAGCCTGTTCGGGCTGCTCTAGCAGAATACTGTAGACGGGATGGCTGAAGCAACAGAACTTTATTTCTCACAGTTCTGCAGGCTGGAAGTCCGAGATCTGCGTGTAGCACAGGTGGTGAGGGGCGCCTTCTGGGCTGCAGGCTTCTCCTTGTCTCCTCACACAGTAGAAGGGGTCCCTTTTATCAGGGCGTTAATCTCATTCATGAGGGCTCTGCCCTCATGACCTAATCGCTTCCCAAAGGCGCTGCTCCTGATACCTCACTTTCGGGGTTAGATTTCGACATAGGAACTTTAAGGGAACACATTCAGACCATAGCATCCTGGCCCTGGCCCCTCAAAGTCTATGTCCTTATCACTTGCAAAATACATTCCTTTCATCCCGGCAGTCCCAAAGTCTTAACCCATTCCAGCACCAACTCTGAAGTCTTGTATCCTTTTGGGGTTCCTGGATGTGGCTGGGCACACGCCAGAGTGGCAGGGGTGGGGACTGAGCCCTTCACAGTGATGGAGGTTGTTACCGTTATGAACGGGTGCCCTGGGGCCCCGGGGATGTGGGTGTCCTTCAGGACTGCCCAGGGGTCCGGCGGGGGGCCAGAGCTCGGGTAGCCAGGGAAATGTGCAGACCGACAAACGGATAGGGCTCCACATGAGGAAACGTGCTGGGTCCTCTCAGGACACCTGCCTCATTTCCCCTCTGATCTATTTCAGCAGCCCCTGGGGCGTGTTTCCAGAACCCTCAGCCTCGCAAGGTGGAGAAAAGCCTGCCCTGAAGGAGGCGAGAGACGGGAAGCTGGAGTGGGGATGTCGGGATGGAGCCCTCGACCCCCTGGAAAGCTGGCTCCAAGCAGAAGGAGGGCTTTGGGGGTCAGCCCAGGAGGGTCGCTGACCTGGGCGCGGGCCCCAATCTGCAGCGAAGCGACAGCAGTCTCCCCAAGAACAGGAGGTCCCAGTACCTCCTAGGCAACTGTGAAAAGGTGGGCTTCTGGGGGTCAGCGGGGGCCCGTCGGCCGGCTCCACCAGAGCCCTGTGGGGCACAGTGACCACCAGGGAGGGGCGCATTTCCTGCCCGGGCAGAGACTCAGCTGGCCTGGGGGCTCCAGCCCAGAAAGGCCCTTAAGGAGAGGAGAATTGGGGAGCATGGTTCGGCCAGGCCTGTGCCCCCTCAGGACTGCACGATCACTTCCTCCGATTGGAAAAGCCGGGAACCATGACAGTTCTGGGCCAGACTCCTGGAAAGCGTTGCTCCAACCTCCTTGTGCAGTGATCTCACTTCCTTGACTGGGAATGCCCTTAGCACCATCTGAAGCCCTGGGCTAACTTCGCGGAAAGGCCCGGAGAAGCCTGTTGAAAGAGCACGCTGGACTTTCGTAGTCCCCTGGTCAGGTGGGCGGGAGGGCGCTTCAGCCTGCCGTCCCGCCAGGATGAAGGCAGAGCCTCATCTGCCACTGTTCTGCCACCCCAAGTTGTTCCCGAGGAAGGCAGTGTTGACAGATAAACTGTAAAGTGCTGTGCAGTTTCAAATTGGGCCCAAGAGGAGGTGATCGCACCTGTTCACTCCTCTGTCCTGACTCCACACCTGAGGCCTTTGGTGAGGGTAATTTAACCCTTGGCATGGCCGGGGAGGGCTCGGGCCTCGCTTCTCTGAAAAAAGACCCTCGAAGCTTGTCAGGGAACATCAGTGTGTCTAAGAGAAGCCTAGGATGTGCTCATTTGAAAGTGTAGATTTGATGCCCAAGGATCTCAAAGTACCCTTTTTTGCCCTCAGCAAAAAAATCTGAGTTCCTGGATTCCTGAAAACATCAAGAAGAAAGAATGCATGTACTTTGTGGAGAGCTCCAAGCTGTCTGATGCTGGGTGAGTGGCCCTTTCTCTGTTCCCAGGCAGAGAAGCTGAGCAGAGGCAGACCGGCCCACCTCGGCAGGGGGACAGTCCCATATCCACGTAGGCCTAGGGTGCTCAGAGCATTTCTATTTACCCCACAAACCGTGTTCATTCGTGTCTGCATTTCCCCAACACCCACACCCTAGTCTGTGCTGTGCCACACTTGGGCCACGCTCTTCCTCACTTGTACTCCTTCTTTGTCACCTGGTGAACTCCTACTTATCCTTCAAGGCCTGTTGCAGATGCTGCCTCTGCTATGGAGCCCTGCTTGACCACACCCCAAGAGGTCACCTCTCCCTCCCACCACACTCTGTATATTTCTCTCTCTCTCTTTTTTTCTTTTTTGAGGAAGACTGGCCCTGAGCTAACATCCGTGCCTATCTTCCTCTACTTTATATGTGGGATGCTTGCCACAGCATGGCTTGCCAAGCGGTGCCATGTCCACACCTGGGATCTGAACTGGCGAACCCGGGGCCACCAAAGCAGAACGTGCGCACATAGCCACTGTGCCACCGGGCTGGCCCCTGTATATTTCTCGTTTATACCAGTTGTCGATTGTGCTGTAATTGTGTGGCTTTGTGGTTCTGCCTCTTGCCAGTTCTGAGCTCTGACCTGCTGACAAACAGTTAACATCCACTTATATTTGTTGAATGACATAGGGGAAGATAGAAGCGGATTACGGTATGGAGTGAGAGGTGAACAGTCACCGATGATCACGTCGTTTCTGGGGTCCTGTAATGTGCCCAGGTGTTATTACTAAAAGTGCCCCATGGATGTTTTGGGGTTCACACCTCTGGCATGGCTCTGCTTCAGATAAGACCCCTTATTCCTCACTGAGCGGTCATAGGAGTGACCTTGAGCTGAGAAGGTCGCCACCGTGCTCCAGCTGACAGCTTCACGGCTAGTGACCTCTCGTATTCTTGGTGCGTAATCAGAGTTTCGGGTTCACACCGCTTATTCTGACAATATACAGAGAGTACTTTGTAATGAGGTCTCCAGCTTTCATTATTTTTAAATGGGTTTATGAAAACAGCCTCAGAGGGAACTTGTGATACATAACTTCCTGTGTAGGAATCTGGTTTCGAAAACATTTTGTAGACTATTGCGGTAATCTGGTTTCTGTTTGTAGGGGTTCGGGGCGCCATTGATCTAGGCCCCGACCCCTTCTTTCCTCTGAATGCTAAACCAGTGGAGAAATGTTGGCGGGGGTCAGCGAGGGTTGGGGGATCCAGATCTTCCTTCTTTAGTATTTCCGTCCCGCTTTGGAGAAATAGTGCTCAGGATGCGTTTGGTTCTGAAAACTTCCAGAAGCACCTGTATTAGGATCAGGTTTAAGGAGAGGAGCTGCCCCAGGGAGATAGCAGATGGAATGGCTAGTTCATTCTGGTGTTATGACGGCTCCTTCAGGTTGCAGGAAGGGACCCAGATTGGAGAGAATGGAGCTCTCATTTCTCCCACAGGATGCTAGCCGTGGTGTTCCCGTTTATGCCCATCTAGGCCAAGAGCTCAGGAGCAGATTCTCTGATTGTTTAATTTCTGGGTCAGCGCTCTCAGCACATTTCCTGCGCTGTGTCCAGCTAGGGAACACACACAGATTCAAGATCTAATCTCACCCGAGGGCGATGGTTCAAGAGGAGAGGGAAAGGAGGAAGCTTATTATGGGCTGGCTGTTAGAAACTTAAGAGAAAATTTGGGGCAGCCTTGAGCCAAAATACGAGAGCTCGGGTCCCTGTCCTGGTGACCCCCTCCCCCACCCTGGCTCCAGCGCTCTCATCCATAGATTGAGGGGGCCACGCAAGGTGTTCCCTAAGACCCCCGCAGGTCTGAGAGTGCCTTGAGTCTCATTAGGGGTCTCAGAGGATGGGATGGTCAGTGGGCGTGCCTCGAGTCCATCATGGCATGGGCAGTCCTGGGAGACCCTGTGTGAGCAGTGGAGACTGGGGCTAGCCAGGGACCTGCTTCACGAGTAGGGAAGGACAGCCTGAGAGGAGCCCAGGAGCTCTTGGGTATCAGTAGGCAGTGGGTCTTTTCACTGATCCCTCGTCCATGCATGGTTAGTTAATTTGCACTAATTTGATAAATTATTTCCCATCCCAACCTCATTTGACCTTCACAGAGTTTTGCAGGGTTGGGGGCAGTGAAAGCATTATTTTTCCCATTTACTGACTGAGAACTTGAGAGTCAGAAGCATCTGAGGTCACACTTGCTGGGTGGCAGAGAAACTTGTCCTCTTTCTTCTGGTCCAGGAGTCTGTCGCCTGTACCATCTGGCTCAGCTTTCCTCTGGTTTTAGACTTTTTTTGGGGTCTCATCTGCATCTGGTCGTCTGGGTCATTTATTACCAGCAAAAAGTAGGAATCTAAAACATCTGTAGATTTCCAGTCAAATAAGGAGTGACGAACACACTTATCTCCTCTGTCTCCTGAAACCCCAGTATATAGTAGTAAAGGAATAAAGAGATTTCAACCCCTGAAGACGAAGAAAATAAGAGAGGAGGTAAGAGTTGAAAGAGCCGTCAATGCATTCTTGCTGGGGAAAAGCAGAAAACACAGGGGCAGCTCCCGGAGGCTGGAGTTCTGGAGCACGACCATGGGCATCCAGCTAAGATTTGGGGGACCGTGTGCATCCTGCTGGCCCGTGGCTGAGAGTTTCTTCTTTGAGCCTGCACTGTGTGGGGTTTTTAATCCTTTTATTTTGAAATAATTATAAACTTACAGGAGGTTGTGAAGATACTACAGAGAGATTCCATGGTCCCACCACAGGTTACACACTTGCGTCTACCCCGCCATCCCTGACCCCTGGCGACCATTCATCTGTTCTCCGTCTCTACAATTTTTTCATTTCTAGAATGTCACATAAATGGAATCATACACTATGTGATCGTCTGACTGGCTTTTTTTTCACTCGGCGTAAGGCCGTTGAGATCCGTCTGAGTTGCTGTGTAGACAGTTGGCTCCTCTTGGTTGCTGTGTGGTCCTTCGCTTTCAACGGGCCTATATCGTTATATTTGAAGTGAGGTTTTTGTATACACCAATAATCGGGTCTGATTTTTTTTATGCACTCTGCCAATCTCTGCTTTTCAACTAGTCTATTCAGACATTACATTTAATGGGATTATTGATATGTTGGGACTTGAGTCTGCCATGTTCTTTTTGGTTCTCAGTTTGCTCTGTATTTCTTTTCCTGCCTTTCTGTAGGTTACTTGAATAATTTTTAGAGTTCCATTTTGATTTATCCACACTATTTTTGAGAGTATCTCTTTGTAGAGCTTTGTTTATTCGTTGCTCCAGGTTTATATTATATATTCACAGTTTATCACAATCTACTGATATCTGCTCATCTGCTGGTATGTCTTAGTCTCCTGGTGTTGACCAGTTTGAGTGAAGCATAGAAACATTACCTCCTTTCACATCCCTTACTCATCCCCATTTATAATATAATTGCTTAAAATATTTCCTCCACATGCATTGAGCACCATGTTAGATAGTGTTGTAACTTTGGCTCAACCCAACCATCAAACATAATTCAGAAAATTCCAGAGAAGGAAAAGGTATTCTATTTACCCGTATTTTTTCTCTTTCCGTTATTCTTTGTTCCTTTCTGATAATCCAATATTCCTTCTTTTATCATCTCATTTCTGTTTAGAGAACTTCCTTTAGCCATGCTTGTAGGGTAGCTCTGCTGGTGACAGATTCCCTTAGTTTTCTTTCGTCTGAGAATGTCTTGACTTCCCTTTCATATGTGAATGACATTTTTGCTGATATAGAATTCTGGGCTGGTAGTTTTTGTCTTTCAGTATTTGAAAAATGTTGCGCTATTTCTTCCTGGTTTCTGATGAGAAGTCAGTTGTTGTATGAATTGTTTTCCTCCAACTGGCAAAGTGTCATTTCCGTCTTGCTGTTTTCAAGATTTTTCCTTTGTCTTTAGTTTTTGGAAGTTTGACCATTACACGTTTGACCATTACAGGTGTGCATCTCCTTTGGGCTTATCCTGTTTAGTGTTCACTCATATTCTTGAATCTGTAGATTTGTGTCTTTTTTTTTCAAATACGAGAAATTTTGGCCATTCTTTTTTCTTTTTTGCTGTTGTCGGTAGTATTGTTTTTTTAAAATTTCACTTTCTAATTGTTTCTTCTATATAGAATGAAGTTGATTTATGTTTGTTGACCTTGTGTCCTACAAACTTGTTAGACTTACTTGTCAATTCTTGTAGTTTTTTTGTAGATTCCTTAGGATTTTCGACACACACAATTATGTTATCTGTGCATAAAGATGGTTTTACTTCTTTTCCTATCTATTTGCCTTTTCTCTATCTCTCTTTCTTCCTTGCTTATTTCATTAGCCAGGGCCTCTAGCACCCTGCTGAATAGCAGTGGTGAGGGTGGACGTCCTTGTCTTGTCCTCGGTCTCCAGGATAAAGCATTCAACCTTTCATCATTGAGTATGCTGTTACCAGCAGGACTTTCATAGATGCTTTTTATCAGGTTGGGGAATTCTCCTTTATTCCTAGTTTGTTGAATGTTGTTATTATGAATGGGGGTTGAATTTGGTAAAATACTTTATGCATCCAAGCAATTGATCATATGACTTTCCTCCTTTATTTTGTAAAGATGGTACATTAGATCAATTGATTTTTAAATGTTAACCCAACCTTGCCTTCCTGGGAAAGCTCTCACTTGGTCATAATTTCTTTACATACTTTTTCAGCCTTGCCTTCTTTCTCTTGTCCTTCGGGGACTCTGATGATGTGAATGTTTGATCTTTTGTCATAGTTCTGCAGGCCCCAGAGGGTCTGTTTATTTGTTTATTTAGGCCTGTTTTCTCTCTGTTGTTCACATTGGTTCATTTCGACTGTTCTGTCTTCAAATTCATGGATTCTTTCCTCTGTCACCTCGATTCTGATGCTGAATTCATCCACTGAGTTTTAAAAATTTTGTTTAATGCATTTTTCAGTCCTAAAATTTATATTTGATGTGTCGTCTATTTCTTTGCTGAGACTTTATATTTTTTCATTTTTTCCAAGTGTGTTCACAATTTCTTGTTAAAGCATTTTTATGGTGCCTGCCTTAAAATCCTTGCCAGATCATTCCAACATCTGTGTCATCTTGGTCCTGGTGGCTCTTGTCTTTTCTCATTCTGGTTGAGATTTTCCTGGTTTCAGGTATGGCTACTGATTTCCAGTTGAAACCTTGATATTGTAGGGATTACAGTGTAAGACTCTTGATCCCGTGTTTTAGGTGGTCCACTGTGAGCTGCCCATGGGGAAGAAGGACACCATGTCCTCACTGCCTTGTAGAGGTGGAGGTCCCCCTGAGCTTCAACTAATGCTTGGTGGGGAGGGGCTTCTTGTTCCTGCTTGTGCGGTGGGGGGAGTTCCGGCTCCCCACTGGGCCTCCCCTGATCCCACCCTGGCTAGGAGGGGCAGGGGTGCCTTATACTGCCCCCATGTGGCCTCCACTGACACTCTGGCCAGGATGCCTCGTTACTGCTGGGTGGGGTGAAAGTCCTGGGTCTCCAGTGGGCCTCTGTGACACCCCCAGCAGGAGCAGGACAGGCACCCCGTTACCTCTGGTGACTGTGTGGTCTTTGCAGGAAGGTGGTGTGCGAGTGTGGCTACACGCATGAGCAGCACTTGGAGGAGGCCACCTGGCCCTGTGCCTTCCAGGGCAAGGAATGGGACCCAAAGAAGCATGTCCAGGAGATGCCAACGGACGCCTTTGGTGACATTGCCTTCATGGGCCTGGGCCAGAAGGTGGGAAAGGTTGGTTTCCATCACTCCATTATTCTTACTGTGGACCAGACCCCACTGTCAGTGACCCTCGGTGGCTGGGACTTCCTGGGTTCGGAGGGAGAGGCTGGGTGAAATCCCAGGGCACAGAGCCCTCCCAGGGCTAAGGGTGGGGCAGGCGGGGCTCCCCAAGGCTAACAGACCCAGTAGCAGAGGCGAGAGCTGTGCCAGGGGGCCGCACAGCAGGGTGGGAGGCCGGCAGAGCCTTGAGCCTGCTCAGGAACATGGGAGGGGCAGAGGGAGGCCCAGGCCCTGGCGAGTCTGTCATGTACGGTGGATCGCAGGGTGGTCCCTGGACCAACAGCGCCGCCAAGCAAACTCTCGGGCCCCACCCTAGACCTGCTGAATTGGGGGCCCAGCCTCCCTCATTTTAACCAGTCTTCTGCAGGATTTTGATGCAGCTTTTGGGCATCATTGACCTATGGGGTCTGGTGGAGCCACTTTTTCTGTGCTGGGGCTCTGGAAACCCTGAACCTCTTACTAACTGGGTGTGACTTTTCTCCTCAACTCCTCTGAGTCTCTGAGACGCAGCCCACTTGGCCAAAGAGGTTGCACAAGGAGGGTCCGAGGATGGGGTCACACCAGCTTCCTGGGTGGCCACCGGCCCAGAGCCCCCTGCATCAGCACCACCACGTGTTGGGTGCTCACCAAGCCCCTGTCCTTTGGAGCCACTCTCAGGGCCAGTCCAGTGGGCTGGGTGTCTTAGGTGTGGCTGGCCCAAGCCGAGAGGAGGCGTCCGCCATGGAGCATGGGCGTTCTTCTGCAGCACAGGGGCTCGGAGTGAGAGTGGCCCTGGAGGGCAGTGTCTGGACCAGAGGCCAAGGGCAACTGACCCAAAGTGACAGGTCCTGGAGACCCAGGGCAGGCGTGTGGCCAAGAGGGAGACTGTATTAGATGAAGACGGAGAGAAGGAAGGACAGGACAGCTGCTGGTTAAACCTGGGAGGGCACGACGGCGGGCTGGCCTTTACTGTGGGACTGAAGCAGACATGGGGTCTCCAGCGTGGGGTGCCCCCGACACAGAGAGGGAGAGTAGAGAGGCAGCTGGGCTGAGGGTCTGTGACGATGAGGGGCAGTTCTTTGCCGTGGGGCCCCTCTTCTGGGCCTTTGCCTCCCCCTTTTCTCCCAATTCATGCCCTGTATGGCTGCAACCCTCACTGAATCTAGACCCAGGGGTGAGGCGACCACGGCCTGCTTGGGGCTGTCGGACATGGCTGGGGGTGGGGACACTGTCCCCCGCTGCACTGTGGCCTTGGACCTGCCCAGCTGGCCACTGACCCAGGCTCCTCTGCTGTCCTCTGACTTCCCCGCAGTATGTCCGCCTCTCCCAGGACACGCCCTCCAGCGTCATCTACCACCTCATCACCCAGCACTGGGGCCTGGATGTCCCCAACCTTCTCATCTCGGTCACTGGTGGGGCCAAGGATTTTAACATGAAGCCCAGGCTGAAGAACGTCTTCCGCAGAGGCCTGGTCAAGGTGGCCCAGACCACAGGTAACGCCTGGGAGGGGGGACATGAGGCCTGGACCACAGGGAGCGCTCAGCCTGGGAGCAAGGGGCAGGCTGAGGGAGGAGTGGGTCCCTGCGAGACAGAGCCGGGGCGTTGGGACTGCTTGGCCCTCGGGGGTCCCTGAGGCCACTCTGGGCCCCAGTGGAGAAGCATGTGGTCAGACTCACCCGGCGCTCCCTGCCCACCCTCCTTCCCTGATGTCCTGCTGCTGCCCCTCTGCTGGCTTGGCTTGCCTGTCAGGACAGACAGGGCCCTGGCTCACTCCCCGATGGTGACGCCCTGCTCTGCGCCTAGAGGAGGCCTGGAAGCTGTGAGCTTCCGTGGGCGGGCAGAGGAGGCCAGGAGCCTGGGTTAGCCCGAGGGGTGCAAGTGAGTTCCTGTTACCTGATCTTTCTGTCAGCGTCATGGAAGGAAGGATTTGTTTCTGTCATTGACTCCCTCCCTGAGGTGACATTCCCAGTAAGAGCAGGGCAGGGGCTGTGTGCCGGGACCCTGTGTCTGCCTGAAGTATCCAGGGCTCCTCGGGAGGCAGCCCTCGGGGCTCTCTCAAAGTGACAATCGATAAGCAGATCCCATGCCCAGGGCCCCTGAGGGGGTTCTGCCAGTGTAAGTCAATGCCCCGAGAGCAAGGATTTGGGGTCCAGGTGAGACTGGGGTCACCCAGAGGGCACTGAGCCTCTTTCTGGGATCTGGTTTCAGCCAAGGGTGTGAGGGCCACACCCTCGGTTTGGCCTTTGCCCTGAAACAGAGTCTTAATCTGAGTCTTAATTGGCCCATGTCGCTCAATTTCATTGTCTACCTGTAGGCCCTGGGTTTTCGGGATCCTTCCGTTTCCCTCCGTCCCTGCCTGCAGATCGACTGAATCTTGGCTCAGTGCAGCTGACCATCACCAGGCACACTTGTAACCTCTGCCGCACATTCAGCAGGCACGCACCTGTCCCCAGGGAGTCACGGGTGACAGTTGTACCACATCTCGTGGTTATCTTTTCAGCGTTCAATGTCAATCAGCCACTTCCCGGCCCCAAGGCCAGTGCCACGTGGTTTAGATTGTTTTTTATGGCGACGCCATGACTGGCTTCCAGGCGTCAAATCCTGTACAGTTGTCGGCACCGTGCTGGGACCAGGCAGCCCAAACAAGAGCAGACGTGTCTCTTGGCTTATGTTTCAAGGAGGTGGCTGCAAGTCAGCGGCTGCAGGTCCGCTCCATGTGTCTTCTCATTCCGGGACACAGACCAGAGGAGCAGACCCCACAGGGGACCTGCTGTCCTCGTGGCAGATGGAGTACTGCAAAAACAGCTGGCGCAAATTCAGGTTCCTCAGACCTGGCATCAGTTCTTCTTGCCAGCATGAGATGACCAAACCGGGCCACTGGTCGGGCTGGACAGTGGGGTGGGAGGTGTTTCCCCCATAGGGGCCTCTGTAAGTTGTGTGGCAGTGGGTGGGACTTATGATCCCGCACAGGGAACAGGGCCCAGTGGCGGACACAGGGATGCAGTCTACCACACTCTATGCCCAAAAACCAAGGGGAAGAAGGGAAGTTTATGTGTCTTGAAATAGAAGCATTCAGAGAAATTTCTGAGGTGCCATGTTTCCTAGACTGGACAGGAGGCAGGGAGAGAGGACAAGGCCTGCCGTCAGGAGCTGGGGGTGGGGTGGGCTGGGGGGCCTGTTCCTGTCCCCGCCTCCCTGAGCAGCACCGGAAACCTCGGCTCCCAGCTGTAGCGTTGAGGACGTAATCGCGGTTTGGCTTCCTCTGAAATCCTGTTTTGTTTTTTTTTTTTAATTATTTTATTGAGGTCATATTGGTTTATAGCATTGTATAATTTCAGGTGTACATTATTATATATCAGTTTCTGTATAGGCTGCATCGTGCTCACCACCAATAGTCTACTTTATATCCATCACCATATATATTCACCCCTTGATCCCCTTGTGCCCACCCCCAGCCCCCTTCCCCTCTGGTAGCCACTAAATTGTTCTCTTTGTCCATGTGTTAGTTTATCTTCCACATATGAGTGAAATCCTTTCTCTATCTAGCTTTCTGTATCTAGCTCATTTGTCTTTCTCTATCTTGTCTTTCTCTATCTAGCTTATTTCTTTAACACCATACCCTCAAGGTCCATCCATGTTGTTGCAAATGGGACGATTTTGTCTTTTTTATGACTGAGTAGTACTCCATCACATATATATACACCACCTCTTCTTTACTCATTCATCAGTTGATGGGCACTTGGGTCGCTCCCATGTCTTGGTTGTTGTGAATTATGCTGCAGCGAACATAAGGGTGCATAGATCTCTCTGTATTGTTGATTTAATGTTCTTTGGATAAATATCCAGAAGTGGGATAGCTGGATCGTATGGTATTTCTATTTTTAAGAAATCTCCATACTGTTTTCCATAGTGGCTGCATCAGTTTACATTCCCTTTTCTCCACAACCTCTCCCACATTTGTTATTTTTTGTCTTGTTAATTATAGCCATTCTGATGGGTGTGAGGTGATATCTTGCTGTAGTTTTGATTTGCATTTCCTAATCATTAGTGATGTTGAACATCTTTTCATTTGCCTGTTGTCCATCTGTATATCTTCTTTGGAAAAATTGTCTGTCCATATCCTCTGCCCATTTTTTGATCGGGTTGTTTGTTTTTTTTATAGTTCAGTTGTGCGAGTTCTTTATATTATGGAGATTAACCCCTTGTTGGATATATTATTTGCAAACATTTTCTCCCAGTCAGTGGGCTGTCTTTTCGTTTTGTTCCTGGTTTCCTTTGCCTTACAGAAGCTCTTTAGTCTGATGAAGTCCCGCTTGTTTATTTTTTCTTTTGTTTCCCTTGCCCGAGTAGACATGGTATTCGAAAAGATGCTGCTAAGACCAGTGTCAAAGAGTGTACTGCCTATATTTTCTTCTAGGTGTTTTATGGTTTCAGGTCTTAGATTCAAGTCTCTAGTTCATTTTGAGTTAATTTTTGTGTAGGGTGTGAGATAACGGTCTACTTTCATTCTTGTGTGTGTGGCTGTCCAGTTTTCCCAACACCATTTATTGAAGAGACTTTCCTTTCTCCCTGTATGTTTGTGGCTCCTTTGTTGAAGATTAACTGTCTGTAGATGTGTGGGGCTCTCAATTCTGTTCCATTGACCTGTGTGTCTGTTTTGTACCAGTACCGTGCTGTTTTCATCACTATGGCTTTATAGGATACTCTGAAACAAGAGACTGTGATGCCTCCAGCTTTTAAGACTTACCCCTGATCATGAGTTTGAAGGCCCTTGAGTAGGGGCTCGGCGGGCATGGGGGACTGAGCATCAGAAGCATGCAGGGCCTTAGGTGTCAGGCTCAGGCGTGGCAGGGTGTGCACCAGGACCCATGGGCCTGCCCACCCTCTCTCCTTTCCCCAGGGGCCTGGATTATCACTGGGGGGACCCACACGGGCGTGATGAAGCAGGTGGGTGAGGCCGTGCGCGACTTCAGCCTGAGCAGCAGCTACAACGAAGGAGAAGTCGTCACCATTGGAATTGCCACGTGGGGCACCTTGCACAACCGAGAAGGCCTGATCCATCCCACGGTGAGCCGAGTGGGCGTGCTCCTGGGGTGGTGGGGTCAGAGGAGAGATGGGAGGCAGGGAGTTGATGTGTAGGATCTGACGGGGGACTGCAGTGGACAGACCACCATCTGGGCACCAGGGTAGATGCAGCGTGGAGGGGAGAGGCTGGACAGGGACACAGGAGATCTGGGCTCGAGGCCTCTGCACTATAGATGCTGGTGACCCGGGACAAGTAGGTAATTGGCTGGACTCTGGTTTCCCCCTTGAGATTACAAGATGGGTCCACATAGGAATCGCCTAAGAGCCACTGCTGGTCTGGGGCTCTGCTAACAGCCACTCTGATGAGAAAGGAAGTGGACTGAATGTAAGGAGGTGGCTTGGCCAAGAGTGCGCGGCCCATGAGCATCTGGGTGGGCTTGACTCCAGGCTGTCTGATCCCAAAGTGTGACCTCGTGACCCTTGAACCCCTGCACTCAGATCTCCTCCAGCCCAGGGACTGCATGATGCTCTGACTTCCAACAGTCATTACCCACCAGGAGCTTCTTTTAAGATTGAAGAGAGAGCGCTCCTGTTTCCATTTCACTGGGTGCAGCTGTGGGAAGCAATTGCTCAAATATGGAGCCTTGAGTTGGAAAAGATAATTTGTTTCATCTGATAAGATTGTTTAGGGACACTAGATTTGGCATAATGAGCACACGTCCACTTAGTCCACAGAGTCAGGAAAGCTCGGGAGACACTGGCCCCAAACACAAGACTCTGTAGGGGAGAAAGAGAATTCCTCTGCCCACTCTGGGTCCTTCTGTCTGGGTTACAAATTAAATTCACATGAGACAGAATAACAGGGGAAAATCAACAGAGCTTTATGGCATGTATACATGGGAGAGACCCAGGACACTGCGTAACTCGGCCATCTGGCCAAAGCTGCTAGCTTAAGTAGCATCTTCAGTTAAAGGCAAAGGAGGAGGTTGGGGTAGTGGTTTGGGATTTCAGAGGGGAGGAAGACAATTTGCATGGAGACGGAAATGCAAATGTTTGTTAAAGCAAGTTTTGCTGGGCCAAAAATGGCCTTGCTGGTGCCTTTCTTTTTTTCTTTCGTTTTTTTTTGAGGAAGATTAGCCCTGAGCTAACTACTGCCAATCCTCCTCTTTTTGCTGAGGAAGACTGGCCCTGAGCTAACATCCATGCTCATCTTCCTCTACTTTATATGTGGGATGCCTACCACAGCATGGCGTGCCAAGTGATGCTGTATCCGCACCCGGGATCTGAACCGGTGAACCCCGGGCCACCAAAGTGGAACGTTCGAACTTAACTACTGCACCACCGGGCCGGCCCCTGTTGGTGCCTTTCTATAGGACCTATTTCACATTATACTATAGCTATCTTACGGTGTGATATCTTATGGCTTCCTGGAATGGGCCTTCTAGGTGAAATTCTTTTAGGCAGTTTGGGGTAAGGTTGAATGTTCTTCCTGAGGCCCCAGCCTTTATTGTCTTCAGCTCATGTCTTCATGGCAGAGTGGCACACATCTTGAGGCAGCCTGCCCTGAACCCCGTCATCTCCGTGACTTCTGAGGATGCTTTCTCATAACTGCCCCATGAGTGGTGACTCGGGAACCGGCCCTTCTCCCCTGGGCCGTGCAGCCTGTGCTCGTTTCCCGGGGAGCCTCTCTGGTGTGATTCCTTTAGCCATCACAAATGCTCGAGATCTGGGCAGCCCGACTCCAGCCTTTGTGTTCCATCTGTGTCAGCATCGTAGATGCACTTGTCTGGCCGGGGCTGGTCCTGTCCCGTGTGCTCATTCTGTGGAGCGGAAATCTGAGGCCGAGAGAGAGTGGGTGACTTCCAGGATCACTATGTTCTCTTCCCCACGTTTGGAGTTCAGAAGACTCCCCACGATACCAGCCTGCCGGCCCCTGTGGACAACAGGGGGTGTGCGCTGGTCCAGCAGCCGTCCCTCTGGGATCAGTGTCCTGGGGCGGCTGCAACAAATGTCACAAACCTGGTGGCTTAGAGCAACAGAAATTTCCTCTCTGCCGTTTCCGGAGGCCAGAACTCCGAGATCAGTATCACTTGGCCACAGTCAAGTTGTCGGCAGAGCTGTGCTTCCTCCAGAGGCTCTAGGGGAGGGTCCTTCCTCGCCCCGTCCAGCTTCTGGCGGCTGCCGGCTTTCCTTGGCTTGTGGCCACATCACTCCAGCCTCTGCCTTTGTGGTCACAGGGCCTCTGCCTCTTCTGTCGTCACGTGTCCATCTGCCTCTCTCTTTCAGGGACACTTGTGATGGCATTTAGGACCCACCTGGATAACCCAGTCCAGATTAATCTTCCCATGTTAAGATCCTTAACTTCGTCGCATCAGCAGAGACCCTTCTTCCAAACAAGGGAACGTTCACAGGCTCCAGCGATCAGGACTGCTGCATCTTTGGAGGGTCGTTTATCAGCCTACTAGATCCCTCATTCCCAGCGTTAAAGATGCAGGACTTTCCGTCTGTCTGTGTCCGACTCTTCTCTGCCGTCCTCAGGGTGGCTTCCCTGCCGAGTACATCGTGGATGAGGACGGCCAAGGGCACCTGACCTGCCTGGACAGCAACCACTCCCACTTCATCCTTGTGGATGACGGGACCCACGGCCGCTACGGGGTGGAGATTCCCCTGAGGACGAAGCTGGAGAAGTTCATATCGGAGCAGACCAAGGAGAGAGGAGGTGAGTGGAGCTCGCTTCCGAGGGCGCGCGGGACAGAGAGAGGAGCGGGCTGGTCAAGGTGTCTGGGACACAGCTGGCCGTGACCAGGACATTCAACAGGCGGGGCACTCGAGGTGCGCGATCAGAAGGCACCTGGATTTCTTTCCCACCATCTCTTTGCACTTATTCGGTAGGGTCATCTCTCGTCCCTTTTAACCAGGTGAAGGACAGTCAGGGCAGGCCCCCGGCTCCTCTGCTCCCTCTCAGGTCACAGACCATCCTATAGCCATTCGACCACACAAACATGTCTCGGCTCAGAAGACAGAACCTGCCAAAACTCGGGCCTGGACATCTTTCCTTGAGGTGGGATGGGATGGACGCTAGGACACTGGGAGGTCAAATACACAGGACTTTGCATATGATTTGAGGGAGGTGAAGAAGGACCAAGATATCGGAGTTTCTAGGTCTGTCCCTGGGCTGGGTGGGCACCTTCGGAGCAGCGTTGTTCCTTGCACATCAGCATCCCTGGGGGGCTTGTCAACCCGGAGAATGGCCCACCCCAGAGGCTCTGACTCACAGGTCCAGATGGGTGAGAACCTCATTCCCAAGTCCCCAGGTGACTCTGAGGGTGCCGGTCCGGGGACCACCCTGAGAACCCTGCTCCACTGAGGACGCGGGTGCGGAGTGTTTGGGGGTGCGAGTGTGTGGGGGCCGTGAGATCATGCGGGAACTTGGAGAGAATGTTTGTGGCCCGGGGAAAGACATTTCTGAAGTCTTCACACATCCCCCGGCTGCCGACTGGCTGAAAAAAAGCTTAAGGTGGGGGCCGGACGGCCGGACAGAGGACAGAGTTTCCAATGCCAAGCTCCCACGTCACGTGTGTGCGTGTGCCACTGCTTGATGTGTCCCTGTGGCACGCCCAGAGTTGAGGCATTGTGAAAGCCTGCAGAGAAAGGTAGCTGGTTGTGGTGTCCTGCTGGACCCTGCTTGTCGCTCTGATGGCCCACAGCCCCCGGCTCTCCCCCACCCCGAAAAGGGGCAGGAGAGGCAGGTGCAAGAGAGGTGCCATCACCGGGCCCTCGAGTTTGCTCTCATTACACAGAACAGGCAGGTGCTCTGGCAGCTCCAGGGTGCCAACCTTTAAAGCTGCTTAGTACTTACAACATGGCTCCCAACCGACGCTCGCATGGGATGAGGCCGGAGCTGGCAGGGGGGTGGGAGCTGTACCCAGGTGGAGAGTCTGAGCCCTGCCTTCCCTAAGCGGGGCCTCTGTGCTTCATCCTAGGCGTGGCCATCAAGATCCCCATTGTCTGTGTGGTGCTGGAGGGGGGACCTGGCACACTGCACGTGAGTACTGGCTGCAGGGTGGGGGTGTCTTGGGGGTCGAGTCTTGCTGTGGGGGGACAGCTGGCCCAAAGCGCTGTTACCAGCATCCCAGCGGGGTCATTGGCAAGAGGGCTTGTCCACCACAGGGTGGAGAAAGGGAGGCCCACCACGTGGCAGGGCCCTTTCCAAGGGGGCAGGTGGGCTGGGAAGGGAGCCTGCAGAGTGGTCCCCGCTGTGGGGGGGCTGCGCTGGCTTTGGCCCTGGGCGGTTGACCAGCACAGAAGTAAGGGGGCTCCAGAGGGGACTGCAGCAATCATGGAGCCGGCGCCCCTCGCCACCACCCCTCCTGGACCCTGGGGCAGCCCGTGGGGGTTTCTGCAACTCTGCAGCCAGACTCCCCTCAAGGGGTTCTCAAAATATAGGCCCTCAGGCCACGCCCCAGCCCCGAGGGACCAGCAGCTGAATGGAAGGCAGGCTCCTCAGTGGTTTTAACTCGCTGCCCACAGACCTTTCTTCAGAGCCCTCCCTATGGGGTGTGGTTCACCTCACTCGTGGGATGCTGACCAACTTTATTTCTGCTGTAGGAACAGACAACAACATTACAGCCTGCAGATTTGGGGCAGGAGCATGGACGTTTCGTTTATGGGATCATAGAAAACGTCCGTTTATGTTTAGTGATTGCAGGAGGTCAACCTAGAACCTTGGGGTGTCCTGGGGGATGGGAAAGCATCTGGTCCCCCACGCCCACCCCTGCAGCATCCTCTTCATTGGCTCTCCCACAGACGGTGCCCAGGCTGCTTCCTCGCACCCAGAGTAGGGCGCCTGCTCCCACTGAAGGCCTCCTTCCTACTGGGGTCACAAGCCCCTTCCTGAAGCTGATCTCACCCTGGGTCCTGGGGTCTCTCTTGTTGTCCTGGTCTTACCCTGAGCCTTAATGAGGGAGCGAAAGTCCGGCCAGGCAGCGCCTCCTGTCTCTGGAGAGTATCTGGAGATGGCTCACGTGTTCACAGGTCAATGGGCGGAAATGTCCAGATCTTTCATTACAGAGGCGTGGGGTGATAGGCCTGAGAGATGATGCATGAGGTGAATGCCCCACAGTATATAGGATTAGCTGCTTTTTCCTCTGAGCAGTGGAATGCTAGCAAACTAAAGGGTTCAGTGAATTTCACAATAGCCCACTGGCCCTGACGGTAAATGCTGTTGGAGAATTCTCCACTTTAGGAAGTGTCAGGGCGGGCGGGGATCCAGGCCCCGGGGCTCATGGTTGGCCCCCCCCTTGCAGACCATCTACAACGCCATCACCAACGGCACCCCCTGCGTGATCGTGGAGGGCTCGGGCCGCGTGGCCGACGTCATTGCCCAGGTGGCTGGTCTGCCCATCTCTGAGATCACCATCTCCCTGATTCAGCAGAAGCTGAGCATGTTCTTCCAGGAGATGTTTGAGACCTTCACCGAAGGCAGGATTGTGGAGTGGACCAAAAAGGTGAGGCAGGCAGGCGCGTCGGTCTTCAGGCATGAGCCTGCAGCTGGTACGTCTGGAGGCTGTTGGCCTGGTAAGTAGGACTAGGACACACAGGACCCAGAAACAGAGACCCCAGGGGGCCTGAGGCGGGCACGGAAGTGATCTGCAGAGGGTGGTAGTCTTTGAGCCGGGTGGGCAGACGGCCCAGGGCTGGCAGGAAGCCTTCGAGAGGCAGCGACCTGTTCTGCCAAGGGAGGGCACGTCTCCAGCCTCTTGCCTGCAGAACTTCCAGCTGGGCTGGGACACTGCAGGGTGAGAGCACAGCTGTTCTGGGAGGAGGAGCCTGCTGGACTGGAGGGGCAGGAGGCTGGTGCTGAGGCTGGGGAGGGCAGCAGAGGGATGGAGAGCTGAGACTCGGCAGCACGGGCGCTGTGAGGTGACCGCAGTGGGTGGCCGAGCCCGCCGAGCTCAAGGCTGGCAGGCAGACGAATGGAGGCCTTCAGGAGTTGGCAAGACAGGGAGGCAGGTAGAGGGGGACGAGACGGGGCCCAAGCCTGGCTCCTGGGTGCCGTGTGGAGATCTGGAAGGGCTTCCCGTGCATTCCTTAGATGGAGGACATGGTGGGTCCTCCCCCATGATTCAGTGGGCATGGGCCCTCCCTGGGGATCTGCATGTGAGCAGCCCAGGAATGCCCCCTGGTCTCCCGGATCAGAGGGTTTGAGTTCAAGACCTGGGAGGGAGTTAGTTACACCCAAAGGGGCAGTCCTTCCCACGCCGAGGGCAGAATGGATGGAGTGGAAACGGAGTTCTGAGACAGGAACCCACGGCTGACGGGTCCAGGAACACACCACGTGGGGGGCGGGCACGGCCCTCTGCTGCAGGGCACAGCTTCTTTCGGGCCTGCTTGTTCTCTCTCTCTGTTTTGGAATTATTTTACTTTTACAGAAAAGTTGCAAAGACAGTAGAGGGTTTCTGTCCACCCTTCACCCAGCCTCTCCTGATGATAACGTCCTACAAAACACAGGGCTTTTGTCAAAACTTAGATGTGAACTCTGGGACATCACTGTTAGCGAAACACAGGCTATTCCAATGTCATATTGATCCACTAGTGTCCTTTATCTGTCCCAGGGCCCAAACCAAGACACCACATTGCATTTAGCCTTTTCTCTTTTATTGTCTTTTCCTTTTCTTTTTTATTTTTAAGGATGACATTATTTACCTAGCCCACTAGATTTCAAGGATTTTCTGGAACATCACCATATAGCCTAGATGACGGGGGCTCTGGGGCCCCGCTTTCTAGCCATCCCCTCCACTCTTGAGCCGTGAACCTCATGGGCGCCCCATTCCCCTGATCTCTGGTTTGGACCCTCCTCCGTTCCTGACCCACTTCTCCTGGCCCAGGGGAGAGCGCGGCTGTTACAGCCCAGGATCATAACTGCCCTGCGATTCTGTAATCTTGCTTTTCAGTAATTTTCATCGGAACTTTGTCTTTTATGCCTACAGTGGGAGAGTTTCTCCCAGGCACCTGGAGGCTGTTTACTCGGTCGGGAGACCTGGGGCATCTGAAGTCGGCCTCAGCAGTGGCTGTCTCCCCAGTCCAGATTTCGGGTGGCCCTGATGAGCTCTGCAGAGGGAGCACAGCCCATGGCCCTGACCCCAGCCTCCAAAGGGCGTCAGTGTGAAGGAGTGAGGCGGGCCAGCCTCACCCGCCCCTGAAACCCTTGGCCAGCCCGAGGAGCTTGCACAGAGGCCCCGCACCCACCCTTCCTGTGGTTGTGCTGACTCTGCTGTCCTGGCCACACTCTTAACCCAGGGGCTGAGGCCCACTGTCCTGGGGTCACCTCACCTCTGTTTCCTGGCAGGATTCTCTGGAGGGGCGGGTGGTGCCTCTCCGCTCCTGGGTTCCCCTGACAATAAGTTGTGGCTGGCAAAGTAATCCAGGTCTGTACCTTTCATCCCGCTCTGTGAACGAGAAGCCAGGTTGTAAAAGCTCGTGGAAATTCACAGTTTTAAGTGCCTGATGTGTGCTCTCAGGGCCAGTCCGCGGAGCAGCTTAGCTCCGACTGTGTCTAATTTCAAGCCCTGTGGGGAGTCCATGCCCACCAACCAAAGACAACAGGGACACACAAGTGGAGGGATGACATTCCCTTGGGGATCCATGGGTGTGGGAAAGGCCTGCTGAGAGTCCGAGCCCCAGATGGGGGGCTGGGGAGGGTCGAAGGCAGGGGGCTCACTCTGGATGGGGCAGGGCCAGTTCCTGGGGCGTTTTGCGGGTGGCATAGTGACCTTGTTCTTGTCGGTGCTTCTTGTGGTCTCAGAGTGAGATACGGAGGTTCTGTGAGATGGTTTTTGCCATGAGCGTCAGGGCAGTTTGCAAAGACACGGAGGTCTGGCTGTGAGCGCTGGCTCAGTTCCCGACTTCAGTGCTCAATTCCATCCATTTGGAATTGGCAGGTGGGCCCTGGGGCCTCTGCTCAATTGTTCATAAATTATTCAGGCAGTTCTCAGAATGGAATCTAACCCACTGTTGTCAATGCGCCTTTTTTTTAGTCTGCCTTCCATTGTGGAGTCAAGGGCCTGAAAACAGCATTTCATACACTCAGTCTCAGGCCGAGGGGGGAGCCCCTGTGTCATTGTTCTGGTTCACTGGGGAGGGGATCCTGCTCCATGGTCATGATCAGTGATTCATTCAGCAAACCTCAGAGCATGGGTCTACACCGTGGGTGAGTGACAAGGGTGAACAGGAGGGGGCCTTTTCCTAGATGCTGCCATTGGCGGACTTGGCTATCAGTCATGGGGTCTCATCACAGGGACTTGCGGCCAACACCACAGGGGTGTGTGTCAGGAGGAACTTGCATGCCCTCTCTCGGCATTCCTTTTCTTGTCTGTAAAAGAGGGATAATTAGTACTTAAACTCAGGATGGACTGAGATCATCCGTGCAGAGTGCTCTGTACTGTGTCGGCATATTTGCACTCAGAAAATGATAGCTGCTCTGCTCTGTGAATCTCTGTTAAGCTGGGTTAAATTCAGGAGACGTTCTGGCTGGAGGACGGGGTAGGGGTTGGGTGGGAGACCAGGGGGTATTTGGAGTTGTCATAAAAGCCGGACCCTGAGGGATGGGGAATGGTTGGGGTCTTAGAGTGGAGGTGGCGTGTACCAAGGTGCGCCCTGGGCTTGGGGTGGTCTGTGCAGAGGCGTGGGGGACATGGCCCGGCTGGGAGAGGAGATGAGAAGGCAGGTGAGGCTGGGTGTGGCCGGCCTGGGGAGCTGGGGGAGGAGTCTGAAGCCTTCAGGAGCTGTGAGGAATCTGTGGATGGCCCACCCTGGCTTCGGGGTGCAGGGGTCATGGGGAGCAGCGACTGGTAGCAGGCATAGCAACTAGGAGACAATGATAGATGATAGATAGATAAGATAAATAGATAGGTGATAGATAAATGATAGATGAGAGTAGATAGAGTGGGTAGGTACCTAGATATACAGACAGGTAGGTAGGTAGATAGGTAGGTAGGTGGATGATTGGGTGGATGGGTGAGCGGATGGATAGATAGGTGGTAGGTAGGTAGGTAGATAGATAGTTAGGCAGCTAGGCAGGTGGGGTGAGGCAGGGCCCAGGAGGGAGGACCGGGGAAGAAGCCATGCTTCTTATGTTAAGCCATGCTGGGCATTCAGCAGACACTGCCTCATGAGCAAGATGAAGATTCTTCGCACTTGGGTTGTGTTTTGTGCCCAACAGACCACTGGAAATCACTGCATATTATCCTTGCTCACCTTTGTCCTCACTGTCCAGGGTGTGGAGAGGTGAGGTGGTGGCCCTGGCCACGCAGGCAGGCAGGACTCGTGCCCAGGGCTCTGGCTTTGTGTGCAGGGCCTCGTTTCTCCCAGCCCCTTGGAGAGGTCAGGAAGCCCACTCATTACCTCGCTCCTCACTTGGGGAATGTTTGTTGCAGATCCAAGACATCGTCCGGAGGCGGCAGCTGCTGACCATCTTCCGGGAAGGCAAGGACGGCCAGCAGGACGTGGATGTGGCCATCCTGCAGGCCTTGCTGAAAGGTGAGGGTTGGGCAAAGTGGGGACCAGGGGGAAAAGGGGGCACAAGGGTGCTCAGGACCCTGAGTATAGAGGAGCCAAAAATACCACCCCGGGGTCAGACGCACGGGTCAGAGGGCAGTGAGAGGGCAGCTGGCGGTGCACCGCGGGGGGCCCACCCCACACCCTGCTGGGCAAGTGGGTGCCCTGTCACTGCTGTCAGGGCATAGCCTTCCTTTTCCAACTCATCTTCTTAACTGAGATCTGAGCACAGCCGCACTAATTTATTCCTCTGTGGTCATCATACTTTCTCATAAAATTTCCGAGTAGGAAGAAAGCACCTTGTAATTGCTGCTCCCGACTTCCCACGCTTCGTGCCTCGCTTAAACTCCTGTGCCTCCAACGCAGCGGAGTCAAACGCAGGGGGGCCTCGTGAGTGGTAAAGCTCGGGGCTTACTGCTCCCGTTGAACTTTCCTTAGTTTCACTTCTGTCCTCTGGCCCATTCTCCACGGGCCCACACTTCCCTCTTCTCTCACTTCTGGGGGAAGGAACACTTCCCTGTCCTTCCCTGCTGGCTTCCACTTGGCCGGGACATCCCTAATGCTGGGGACACGGGCCCCAGGCAGACCCAGATGGCAGAGCAGGAAGCTCTCGTGGTAGAGGGTGAAACTACCTTTATTTCTATATATCCATTCCCTATCCCTTTTACTGACAAAAGGACCGGCTATTGTGCCTCACAGGACCAATGAAATGCTTAAAACTAAGACTTGAGACTTTTGTTTAAAGGCCTCTGTCCAGGGAGAGTCCTGCTCAGACAGAGAGGAGCTGGGAAGAGCTGATTCAACAGAATCAGAGCAGAAGGTGTGGGGGCGTGGGGGGTATGGGGATGTGGGCTGGCCAGGGTCAGGAGCTGTGACTTGTCACCACAGTGGACCCCGACTGCCCCGCCAGCAAGGACACCAAGGGTCAGGAAAGCTGTGTGAATATCCAGATGAAGACAGGGGCTTGAGGGTGTTCCCGTCACAGCCCTAAACTGTCCTGTTTACAAACAGGCCATGAAAGCATCTGTCTCTTCCTTGCCTTTGTCTCTGAGCAGCCAAAGGAACAAGAAGAGGGACACCAGGCAGCCTGTGTACAGTGGAACCTGAAGCTGCTGTGGCCCTCGAAGGCAGTGACAAGGGGCCAGTGTGGGCGCTGAGTCTGACCATCAGTGCACAGCACTGGGAGGGGGAAGGACCCCTGCTCATGGCCCAGGATAGACCCCATGGACATGGGGCACCAAATACCAACAACTGTTATGAAGTTCAGGAGAAAGCTGTAGACTCGTGGTCACTCTGGGGCAGGTACTGAGCCGAAGGGGCGTGAGGGGGCCTCTGGGGAGCTGGAATGCTGCAGCTCTTGGCCTTGGTGGTTGTTCAGGCGTAGATGTCAGTGAGAAGGCATCGGGCTGTGCAATTGAGACTGGTGCACTTTGCAGGCCTGCTATCCTCAATAAAAAGTCCTAGGAAGATTATTTTGGCATAGCTCCATGTTGTGCAGAGCAGCATGGATGGCACCTCCCATGGGTGCAGGGCGGGAAAAGAGAGAGATTATGGAGAGAGAAAGAGAGCGTCTATTTCTGAAAGCAAACCAATGGGATTGGCTGTAATTGGTTGCTTAGGGGAAAGGGGGTGGGCGTCTGGGGTGGGAGAAAGGGACTCTCCTTGTGATATGGGCATATATGAAAATATCTCTATATACAGAAATATATACATATATGGTTTTTCAATATCAACCCTTTTCAAAAATCAGCTTTATTGAGGTACAGGCTATATGCAGTACCCCCATTCTAAGTTTACTGCCAGATGGATTTTTACAGGTGTGTGCACCCATGTGCCCACCATAATCCGGATACAGGACAGTCCCCTCACCCCAGAAAGTTCTCTCCTGCCCCTTTGTAGGCAAACCTCCCTCCACTCCGCCCCCAGCTTTCTGTCACTGTATATCAGTTTTACCCATCCTAGAACGGCACCTAAATGGAGTCGTACACTATTTGTTCTTTGGTGACTTCCTTCCTTTGCTCAGTGCACCTTTTTGTGGTTCTTCTGTGTGGCGGGTCTCAGAACACGGTTCCTTTTTGCCGCGGGGTAGCATTCTGTTGTGTGAGCATCTACCACCATTTCTTTTTCCATTCACGTGTTGACAGACATTTAGGCTGTCTCCAGGTTGGGGCTGTTATGAATGAGGCTGCTATTTGCTTTCATTTCTCTTGGGTGCCCATTGAGGAGTGGAATTACTGGTGCTGTATGGTCAATGTTTAACTTCATAAGAAACTGCCAAACTGTTTTCCAAAAAGATCCTAGCCTGTCACCTCTCTGCCAGCCGTGGGTGAGCGTCCCAGCTGCCCTCATCCTCGCCAACACTTGCTATTGTCCGTCTTTCACACTGCAGCCATCCTAGTGGGTGTGAGGTGCTATCTCACTGTGGTTTGAATTGGCGGCTCCCTCATGACCCATGATGGGGAGCGTCTTTTCCAGGGCTTGTTGGCCATTTGTATGGCATCTTGGGGAAGTGTCTTTCAGGTCTTCTGTCCACGTGTATTTGGTTCTTTGTCTTCTCATTTTTTAGCTGTACGAGTTCTTGATATGTTCTGATACAAATGCCCCATCAGATACGTGGGCTGGGAACATTTTCTCTTGGTCTGTGGCTTGCTTCTGTATTTCCTTCAAGGTGTCTTTGAAGGGCAGAAGGCTGAAACTTTAATGCAGATTAATTTATCAGTTTTTTCCTTTGCGGTCATGTTCTTTGCCTCCCAAGAAATCCTTGCCTGTCCCCAGGGGCAGATATTTTCTTCCGTGTCACAGGAGAAGCTCGGTAGGGACGGCTCTCATTCTCAGGTCTGGGATCCGCCTCAGATCCACTTTGCGTGTGGTGTGAGGTGAGGGCCAAAGTTCTTTTTTTTCTTCCGCAAATAACAAGCCATGTTTTAAGATGTTGAACAGAGAAAGCAGAAACTAGTTGGGCAAAATGTTTGTTCTGAGGACCTGGGTGAGGTGGTGGTTTTGAAATCCAGGCAAAACAGGAAGTGTGAGGGCTGGTAGTGCTGTATCTTTGGACATTGGTGTAAAAATGCCTGCCTTTCAGAGTTCGTGTCTTCCTCCACTTGACCAGGAGGTGGGGGTGGCGAGGGGAAGTGGGGCTGAGCCAGGGGAAGAGGGGTGACTGAAACCCCAAGATTCTCTAACAGTGTGTGTGTGGGGGGGGAAGGTTGCAACTGAGCACTGATTTACTCCATTAAAATGATTGACAGCCTGGGGTTGGTGAGGGATCCCGCCTTCTCTGACTTTATTAAATGGCAGGGGTGCCCATGGGAGGTGGCTTTGAGACCCAGATCGAAGCCCCCTGATGCATGTGGTTTTTCCTGCAGCCTCTCGGAGCCATGACCACTTTGGCCACGAGAACTGGGACCACCAGCTGAAGTTAGCGGTGGCGTGGAATCGCGTGGACATCGCCCGGAGCGAGATCTTCACCGACGAGCGGCAGTGGAAGGTAAGGCTTCTCGGGGCTGCCCTGAGGAGGGACTTGTTGGGCCGACACGGATCGCAAGGACAGGCCCTGGAGGGTGGGCTCTGTCTAGATGCCAGCCCTTACCTTGGTGGAGGGCAACCTGGGAGTTCCATGCTCCCTAAGCCGGACACAACAGTCATTCAGTCTCCAGGGACACTGAGATCAGGATTACGTGAGGCGATGACCAAGGCAATGACCCCCCCATGGCACCCTCTCTCAGCCTTCAGAGCTGCACCCCATGATGACGGCTGCCCTCATCTCCAACAAGCCCGAGTTTGTGAAGCTCTTCCTGGAGAACGGGGTGCGGCTGAAGGAGTTTGTCACGTGGGACACCCTACTCTACCTGTACAAGAACCTGGACCCCTCCTGCCTGTTCCACTGCAAGCTGCAGAAGGTGCTGGCTGAGGAGCCAGAGCGCATGGCCTGTGCGCCCAGCGCCCCGCGAGTGCAGATGCACCACGTGGCCCAGGTGCTGCGGGAGCTCCTGGGGGATTCCACACAGCTGCTGTACCCCCGGCCCCAGACCAGCGACCGGCCGCGGCTCACGCTTCCCGTGCCGCACATCAAGCTCAACGTGCGTGCTGGTAACGTGGCCCCTGCCCGGCTCGGCCTGTGTGCTGGGTCCCTGCTGTGTCCTCAGAGCTTTCTAAAAAATGAGCTTTTATTTTTATTAGAAAAGAAGTATGCTCCGTGTCTTAGAAGCTAGGGCTGCCATAACAAAGACCACAGACGGGGTGGTTTAAATATTTATTGTCCCACAGCCTGGAGGCTGAACGTCCAAGATCAAGGTGTAGGCAGGGCCGGTTTCTGGTGAGGCCTCTCTTAGCTTGCAGACGGCCACCTGCTTGCCATGTCTTCACGTGACTTTTCCTCTGTGTGTGCTTTGTGTGTATCTCTTCCTCTTTTTTTTCATTCTTTTTTTTCATGAGGAAGATTCACCCTGAGCTAACATGTGTGCCCATCTTCCTCTACTTTGTATGTGGGACGCCTCCACAGCACGGGTGATGAGTGGAGTAGGTCCGCACCCGGGATCTGAACCTGCGAACCTGGGCTGCTGAAGTGGAGCACACAGAACTTTAACCACTTGGCCATGGGGCCCGTCTCCTCTCTTCCTCTTTTTATAAGGACACCAGTCCTACTGGATCAGGGCTTCGCTCTATGACCTTATTTAACTTAATCACCTCCTTAAAGGCCCTATTTACAAATGCAGTCACAGTGGAGGTTTTAGGCCTCAACATATGAATTTTGAGGACACCATTCTGTCTCCAAAAGGGAGAACTTCTGGTCCCCCAAAATTCATGTCCTTCTCACATGCAAAATACCAACAGCCCCAAAGTCTTGACTTGTTCCAGCATCAACTCTAAAGTCTAAAATCCAGAGTCTCATCTAAATGTCCCTAAATCAGATGTGGGTGAGGCTCGAGCTGCCTTCATCCTGAGGCAGAGCCCCCTCCCTCTGGGAGCCTCTGAGGCCAGATGAGTTATGTGCCTCCAGATACAGCGGTGGGACAAGGATGAACGCTCCCATTCCCAGAGGGAGAAATCAGAAAGAAGGAAGGGGTGATGGGTTCTAACAAGTCCCAAACCCATTAGACCTTAAGGCTCGAGATAACTCTCTTTGGCTTGACGTGGCCTCTGGGCCTGCCAGGGCAGCATTGTCACCCCTGTGGCCCCAGGTGGTGGCCATCCCTACAGCAGAGGGCAGCAGCCTTGCCTCTTAGGCACTGGGGGGTGGCATCCTGGTCCAAGGAAGTGACCCCACCCTCTGACACTGAGGAGGAAACTGCCTTGTTCCCTGTGCCTGTGGTGGGAGTGGCAGCCTGATGACCTCTGTGCCCCCCTTCAGGGTCATTCATCACTCCCTCCCCACCCCCCCCAGTCGCTTGAAGGATAATGCATGTTGCCAGCTGGGCAGCTCTGTTTTGCATCCTGTAGGGTCCCAGAGTCCACAGACTTCCCCATCCTGTTTGCTCTGTCCGCTTCAGTCCGAGGCAGTGTTTCTGCTGGTGTGATTGGTACAATGCTGTCTCTGTTCCTGGTCCACTGAGGTGGCTGCATCCTCGTTTGATGGGAACCCCGTGGCATCCACTGTTAAGTACAATGCTGGTGTTTGCACATGTGTTTAATGTCAGGGCCTATCCATCTCCTGATTCATTAAAGTTTTACAAAATGAAGCCTGCGTGCTGGGTTTTGTCAGACGCCTTTTGAGAAGTTGAGCTGCTCTTCTCCCTTGACCTATGAATTTGATGAATTATTTTCATAGATTTCCTGATAGTGAGTTCTTTTTATTCCCGTCTTGATTCTCAACTTGCTTGCAGTGTAATATGTGTTTAGTATGAGCTGGATTGTGTTGCCAATATTTTTGAGGTTTTGGCATTAGAATGTTTAAACCTTTGTAGTTTTATTTGGCAGCTGCGTTTGTCAGGTTCTGGGATCAATTTTATGTTAGCCTTGTAAAACCCATTGGGAAGCCTGCCTTCTTGCTCTGCTCTGGAACAGTCTGTGTGGCCGGGATTCACTGCTTTTTACGTGCTCAGCAAACTCCCTGGTGAGTCCCTCAGGGCCTGGTGCCTTTCTGGTGAGTAGCTCTAATAACTTTCTCAGTTTCTTTCCTGATGGTTCCTGTCTAGTTTTTTTTGTCTGTTCTAAGATCAGATTTGGTTTTGGTGTTTTTTTTTCCTGCTAGAAAATTATCCACTTCTTTCAGGTTTTCAGATCTGTCCATTGTCCCATTGACCCCTGAGAAGGACGTGGTTGGAGCTCGACTTTCTATATTCACAGTTCTGCTCTTCTTGATTGCAGTGTAGTTAAGATGCCCACTTGGAATGTGCTTAAGAAGATCCAGTGTAGGGGCCAGCCTGGTGGTGTAGTGGTTAAGTTCTTATGCTCCACTTTGGCGGCCTGGGGTTCATGGGTTTGGATCCTGGGCATGGACCTACACATCACTCATCAAGCCATGCTGTGGTGGCATCCCACATACAACATAGAGGAAGATGGGCACGGATGTTAGCTCAGGGACAATCTTCCTCATGGAAAAAAAAATGTATATATATATTTAAAAAAGAAAAAGAAAGAAAAGGTCTAGAGTGAACCCTCATACTTAGCCATGTCTGTAATTTGAGAAAATAAGTTAAATTTTTAATAAAGATGAGCCTTCAGGGAATTTCTAAAATCACTTAAGGAAAGTGCACCTTTGTGTGTGATGTGGGAAATGCATTCTCTGTTCCAGGAATCGTTTCCAGACTGTCTCAGTATGTGTTTGTTTATGATCAGCCCAGAAGCCTGGGTTCTTTTGTCGTTATGTATGTTGAGTGTGTCTGGGGCCGGGGTGCCCTCGGCTCACATGTCGCCTCGCTGTCCTTCAGCAGCTCTTTCTTGTTGGCCTTCTCTGAAGGAAACACTGTTAGGTTCCCTGAGGAGCTCACAGCCATGAATCTATCAACAGACTCTGTGTTAGAATTCTCCTTCATAGACAAGGCTTTGATGCCATCAGATACGACTAAAGAAGCTTGAGGTGCCTGGTGTGTAACAAGAGTCTGTAAATGTTGGTAAAGGAGTTAGCTGGGTATTCCACTTTCTGGATGTTCCTCCGTGTCTCCAGAGAGATGGGTTTTGAAGCTGCAGTGTGCGTGAGAACTTCCTGGGGTGTTGCTGAAAATGCAGGCTGCAGGGCTCGCCCTCCAGGGACCGTGGTTCTGAGAAGGTGTGGGGCTGGGTCCAGGACCTGCACCCCCAATAGGCCCCCCGGGGAATCTGATGCCTGTGGGGACCTGGGTGGGGGGCTCTGACCATCCGCTGCTCACCAGGTGCAGGGAGTGAGTCTCCGGTCTCTGTACAAGCATTCATCAGGCCATGTCGCCTTCACCATGGACCCGGTCCGTGATCTTCTCATTTGGGCCATCGTCCAGAACCGCCGGGAGCTGGCAGAAATCATCTGGGATCAGGTAACCAGACCTGCTTCCCGGCACACACAGTTGTGGGTGGACCAGTGACAGAGCTCCCACTGGGGAGCCTGGCCAGGGAGCCCAATGCCGACAGCAGGGCAAATTCCAGCCCGGAGGGGCCGTGTCTCTTTCCAGTGACCTGGGGATCTTGGCAGAGATAATCTGTTACTTAGACAAGGAGCAGGCCCCAGACACCCCTGCCCGGAGCCCATCTGTGGCAGTCAGGGAACATCATCCAGCTGAGCGGGGCAGCTCCATAGTCGCCGGGCCCACGTGCGGCTTCATGGTCCGCGATGGAGGATGCTCCAGGCGGCCTTGAGAAGCAGAATGCTGTAGGCGCCAGTCTTCCCTGCGTGGCTTTCCTTTAATTCAAGCTGATTCCCCCTGTAAAAGGAAAGGAGAGTTTTGCAGTTTTTTCTCAGAGAGGGCCCCTGTTCTCAGTGTTGGCATTTCCAAATTGCTCTTGAGGAGTTGGCTGTCTGCCCAGTGTCCCCAGCAGAGTGGCACTGGTGGCTTCTCACTTCTCTGGGAGGTTCGCCCTCTCCCAAGGTGCATGGTGAGTCAGCGGCAGGGCCAGGCCTGACTGTAGCCTGGGGTGTGCCCCGTGGGGCCCCGAGATGGAAAGACTGCGACCCTAACCCCTCATCCTGCCCCATGCTGCCTTCTGACCTGAGCAGCACCTTCTTTGAGATTTTTCTTAGCCCCTCTGATGCCTGGTGCTGGCGGTACCAGTGAGGCAAGGTGCTCTGAGCCTGGACGGGGACATGAATGGACCTGGTCCCGTTTCCCCTCTTGGGAGTGCCCTCTGGCCATTGACCCCATGCCTGAGGTTGGCCTGACACCCAGGGAGAGCTGGGACTCCTGCCACAGGGCTGTGCTGATGCCCTGTGTCCAATCTGTGTTCTGGGTGGGCATGGGGGCCCCCTGGCAAACAGACCACTCCCACTGGCCAGTGCAGGAGGCTGGGCCACCACAAAAGGCTTGCATGTTTATGCGGAGGACCCAAATGGTTTCTATAGTCAGGGGCCACCACAAGTAATCGCCCAGCGGCCCATGTGTCCCGGGTCTCTGCTTTCATCAGCCTTGGGCAGTGTCAGGGGTTCCCCGGGCTGGACCATCCAGGTCCTCACTGGCTTTCCCCGGGCCCCAGAGTCAGGACTGCATTGCCGCGGCCTTGGCCTGCACCAAGATCCTGAAGGAGCTGTCCAAGGAGGAGCAGGACACGGACAGCTCAGAGGAGATGCTGGCGCTGGCTGACGAGTACGAGCACAGAGCCATCGGTGAGATCCACAGAGCGGCGGTCTCTGACCACGGCTCGGCTCCTCATGTGTCACCCTGGGGTCCTTGTCCTGGGTCTCAGCCCCTCATGTCACCCTGGGGTCCTCGTCTGGGTCTCAGTCTCTGTTCCTGTCCAGGCTGTGCCATCTGGAGAGGCCACTCTCTGACACTGTCCCCAGGCATCAGGGATTGGGACTCTGCTGCTGTCACACAGGTCTACCTTTTCTGTCCAGGAGTCTTCACCGAGTGCTACCGGAAGGATGAAGAGAGAGCACAGAAACTGCTCATCCGCGTGTCGGAGGCCTGGGGGAAGACCACCTGCCTGCAGCTGGCCCTGGAGGCCAAGGACATGAAGTTTGTGTCCCACGGGGGCATCCAGGTGACCTTCTGAGGGCCCGTTTTCAGAAACACCCTCCCATGGTGCTGTCGGGCCGGACACAGCCTCCTGCTCCCAGAGATGGCACACATCTTCACGCATTTTGGGTCCCTTGGGGACCCAGGGACAGCGCCTGGCCCATCGGGCGCATGGGCAGGCCCTCTCTCCTCCCATTTCACAGTTAAAGAAACTGGTGCTAAGTGAGGGGGGTGGCGGTCATGACGGCAGTTGCTCACCTCCGCACATCAGCCCCTGGCCTGGGCCTTGGGAGGGAGATGTGGGCAGAGCGCCCTCCTGGAGCACGGAGGGCAGGAGCTTCCAGTGTTGCCTCCATGCCTGCGGCAGGCCTGGCATGTGGGAGGTGCCTCTCGGACACCAGCGCTTCCTTGGAGCACGGCTTCATGCCGTCACCGTGTCCATGCAGCACCGTTGTGTGCAGGCCTGTGCTGGGCCTGGGGACGTGGTGGGGAGGAGGCCTGCCCTCTGGTACCCTGACAGAGCTTAGAGGGGCCAGCTGGTGAGAGCCAGGGACCTGCAGCTACAGTGGGAGGAAGATGGGCCCTGGAGCCTGGGGCCCTGAGTCTGAGCCCTGTCTCCGTCCTTACCTCTGGGACACCCTGGCCTGGTTCTGCCCACCCGGAGCCTCTTCCTCAGCTGGAAGAGCCCCCCATCCTGTGCTGCCCACCGAGTCTCAGAGAGCACTGTGCTTCAGCGAGTGGGGTCACTGCGCCCGGGGCAGACAGGTCACTCACCCTTAGGGAGGGTGCACAGGGGACACGGGGTCAGGGTGGGGTGCGGGTGCCCCCTGTCATGAACCACCCCTCTGTTCACAGGCCTTCCTGACCAAGGTGTGGTGGGGCCACCTCTGTGTGGACAACGGGCTCTGGCGGGTGATCCTGTGCATGCTGGCCTTCCCGCTGCTCTACACTGACCTCATCTCCTTCAGGTGCCCGCCGGGCTGTGGGGCTGCGGGCGGGGCCAGGGGCTCGGGACCTTCATTCCCGAATGCCCCGCTGGAGGCAAGTTGCGTGTGTCCTTGTGGCTGCAGCTGGATCTAGAAGGGTAGAGATGCATATGGGCAGGAGGCGGAGGGAGGGGCCCCACCCATGCGAAGCCCCCAGCACCTGCCCTGCACTGACCACCCACTGTGCCCCCAGCACCCGCATGGCCCGAGTGTTTGCTACAGCCCTAAGAACCAAGCCCGGGGCTCTCTTGGGTCCTCCCTTTGCGGGGTCATCTGGTCCAGCCCTCTCTCTGTAACTGCATGTGTGGGGTCAGCGGGTACACAGCCTCAGCTGCATCCCGGTCCTCCTCCTCTGCCGCCCGGGCCGTGTGTGGGTGGCTGAGGTCCCCCGTGCTCTCTCCCTCCCGTGCTCGTCCCCGCAGGGAGAGGAGGCTGCAGGCCATGCGGGGCCTGCCCCGCATCCGCGCCTTCTTCACCGCGCCCGTGGTCATCTTCCACCTGAACATCCTGTGGTACTTCGTCTTCCTCTGCCTCTTTGCCTACGTGCTCATGGTGGACTTCCAGACCACGCCCTCCTGCTGCGAGTACCTCATCTACTTCTGGCTCTTCTCCCTTGTGTGCGAGGAGCTGCGGCAGGTGCGTCCCTTGGCCGCCCCCCCACCGCCGCGGTCCCCTGTCCCTGCCACCCACCCTGGGAGCACTGGCTTGGGCGCTTCCCCACAGTGGGCCTTGGCCCTTTAGTGCACAGTGTGGAAACACCACCTCCTGTCCTGTCGGCCCGGGGCCCCAGAGTTGCCAGGAAGGAGGTGCAGCCGGACTGGTGATGTCGGGCTGGCTCTCCTCGCATTGGCTGCATAGCCTCCTGCAGCCAGAGCCTCTCCACGAGGGGACCAGAGCCCCAGGCCCTGCGCCCCGGCCTCATAGCTGGCAGTCCCAGAACAGAGGGTGCGCACTCCTCCCTGATCTGTCCTGAGGTCCCAGGGAAGGGACCCGGTGTTCCCATGGGGCCTCCTGCCTGCCCCCTCCCCCCAGCTGCTGGGGTCTGGGGTCTGGTACCCAGGGAAGGGTGTGGGGACTCCAGCCAGGCAGGCCAACGAGGTTCCCACGGTGCCCCCCTGGGTCCCACCCTGCGCCCGGAGTCACTGCAGGAAGTAGGAACAAAGCTCCTGGGGGGCTGCCTCCAGTGGGGAGGGGGCTCGCCCACAGCCAGCACACACCTTGGCCCATCCAGCAGGACTGGGGTGGGGGGCGGCCTCGCCTGCTCTTCCTGACGCAGGGGCCGTGGGAGCCCCCCCCCCTCCCCCGGGAAGGAGCGAGTGTTCTCGCTGCTGGTGACGACAGCACAGCCTCCCTACCCGCCCCCTCGCAGCTCTTCTACGACCCCGCCGGGTGCGGGCTGAGGAAGACGGTCTTCGTGTACTTCAGTGACTTCTGGAATAAACTGGACATCGCTGCCATCTTGCTCTTCATAGCAGGACTGACCTGCAGGTGGGTGGCCACGAAGACGCCCACCCTCTCCCCTGGTGGCACCCCTCGTGTCCGGGGCAGCAGCACCCCCAGGGCTGGGCTCGGGACTGGGGTCGCAGCCGGTGCCACCTGGCGGGCTGAGCTCCCGTGAATGCATTTGTCGTCTGTCGAGTGGGCGACCCTGCGAACCCCGGGGAATGTTGGAGGAGATGTGAGAGCTCGTTGTCACCTCAGGGGGTGCCCACCTGCACGGGGCGTCCCTCCTTCTGTGGCCCTGGGCCTCTCCACTGCCCACGAGGCCACCTGTGTCTACTGGGCCATGGTCCCCTTTCTCCACAAAGTGAGAGGGACCCGGCCCAGCCTCCTGGTTGCCAGGATGCCCGTCAGGCCTGGCTGCCCTGCCTGAGGCTGGGCTTCCAGACCTTTCTGGAGAACGCCTCCCTGGAGGCTCTGCTCCCTGAGCTCACACCCAGTTTTCAACACTTCGGGGTCCAGGGACCACCAGAGCCCTTTGCCTCCAGGGGCCTCACGTGGGCTAGGGCAGGTGGGCGGGTGGCCAGGGACATGCTCTGCGAGCAGGGAGCTGAGGGGGTCCCTGCTTCTGCCCCTGGCCAGGCTCATACCAGCATCGCTGTACTCCGGGCGCGTCATCCTCTCCCTGGATTTCATCATGTTCTGCCTCCGGCTGATGCACATTTTTACCATCAGTAAGACGCTGGGGCCCAAGATCATCATCATGAAGAGGATGGTAAGGGGATGAGGGGGCCCCCTATGCCAGCTGCAAGTGAGGCGACCCAGGGTTTAAGCACATCCCTAGTTTCCATGTCTCTGCTTTGCCCATCGGGCTTCCACCCCCTGGCATGCCCGTCTCTGGTCTTTGCTGTATGTCACCTCTTCCAGGCAGCCTTCCTTGATCTCCACAGCTCATTCTTGATCCCTGTTAAAGTGTTTATCATTCCGCTCCTTGGGTTCCGTCCTACACCTCGCAGGGTTCCCTGGGGTTTGGGGGCGGCCTGGGGCTGTGGGCGGGGAGAGCGCCGGGGGGCGTGTGCGGCTGCAGCGGTGCCGCCCTGTCTCTGCAGATGAAGGACGTCTTCTTTTTCCTCTTCCTGTTGGCGGTGTGGGTAGTGTCCTTCGGGGTGGCCAAGCAGGCCATCCTCATCCACAACGAGAGCCGGGTGGACTGGATCTTCCGGGGGGTCGTCTACCAGTCGTACCTCACCATCTTCGGGGAGATCCCGGCCTACATCGACGGTAGGAGGCCCCCTCCCGGCAGCGCTCCTGACGCTCACGGAAGGACTGGGGAGGGCGGGCCGGGCGCTGCCCACTGCAGGGGCAAGAGCGCAGAGTCCCCGGGGCAGAGAGAACACGCGCATGCGCTGCCCAGGGGGGAGGAATGGCGTCAGCCCGGGTGGGGGGGAGGCGGAGCTGTACCTTGCAGCCGGCTGAGGCCCCAGGTGGGCGGAGGGCGTGGCCCGGGGGGCGGGCGCATCAGCTGGCAGCCCCGCCCCAACATTAAACGCACCCTGTGCCCGCCCGCCCTCCACACCAGTCAGAAGGGAGTTCCTCCTCCTCTGGGTGGAGAGAACACCTGTGTATCCCGCGTTTTCCTTTTTAGCAGCTTCCTTGAGCTGTAATTCATATACCATAAAGCTCACCCCTATAAAGTGTGCGCTTCAATGGTTTTATGTCTATATACAGACTCTAATTTTAGAACAGTTGTATCACCCCCAAAAAGACACCGCACACTCGTTAGCAGTTGCTCCCCGCTCCCCACTCCCGTCAGCCGTAGGTAACCTCTGATCTGCTTCCCGTCACTGTAGAATTTGCCTTTTCTGGGCATTTCATGTAAATTGGATATTGTAATATGTAGTCTTTTGTGTCTTGCTTCCTTTACTTAGCATATTTTCAAGTTTCACCCACGTTGCTGTCTGTATCATCTTTAATTCCTTTTTGTGGCTGAATAATATTCCACTGCCTGGATGGACCACATACGTCTACCCCTTCATCCGTTGGTGGACATTTGAGTTGTTTCCACTCTACTCTGGATCCCGTTGCTCTGAGCAGTAATTGATAAGTTTTCGTGTGGACATGTGTTTTCATTTCTCTTGGATGTGTACCCAGCAGTGGAACTTCTGGGTCATATTGCAATTCTATCTTAACTTTTTGAGAAACTGCCAAACTGTTTTCCACAGGAGCTGCACCGTTTTAGATCCCGCCGGCAGCGTATGAGGGTTCCAGTTTCTCCACGTTCTCAACAATGCTTGTTGTTGTCTGTCCTTTTTGATTCTAGCCATCCTCGTGCATGAGAAGCAGTATCTCATTGTGGTTTGGATTTGCGTTTCCCTGATGGCTAATGATGTTGAGCATCTTTTCATGAGCTCACAGAGCCATTCATATGTCTTCTTTGGAGAAATGTCTATTCCTATCCTTTGCCCGCTTTTCAAGTGGGTTGTCTTTTTATTATTGAGTTGTAAGAGTTCTTTACATTTGAATACCAGTCCCTTATCAGATATATGATTTGCAAGTATATTCTGCCATTCCGTGGGTTGTCTTTTCACTTTCTTTATTGTCCTTTGAAGGACAAAAGTTTTTAATTTTCACGATGTTCAGCTTATCAGTTGTGCTTTTGGTGTCATAGTAAGAACGTGTCGCCTAACCCGAGGTCATCAAGATTTATGCCAACGTTGTTATTCTAAAAATTTTATAGCTTAGCTCTTACTTTTGGCCTTGGAGCCATTTAAATTAATTTTTGTATGTAGTATGAGGTAAGGGTCATTCTTTTGCATGCAAATATCCAGTTGTTCCAGCCCCATTTGTTGAAAAGACTATACTTTCCCGGTTGAATTGTCTTGGCACCCTTGTCAGAATCATTCGACCACGAAAAGAGAGGGTTTATTTCTCAGCTCTCAGTTCTATCCGACTGAGCGATACACCTGTCCTTGTGCCAGCGCCATCCTCTCTTGGTTAGCATAGCTTTGCAGTAAGTTTTGAAATCAGGAAGTGCAGTGTGAGTCCTTCAACTTTGTTCTTTTTCAAGATTGTTTTGACCTCTGAGTTTTTTTGGGTCTACGTGAATTTTTGATCAGCTTATCCGTTTCTCTAAAGAAGGCATCTTGGATTTTGACTGTGAACAGGAGATGTCTTTCCACTTATTTAGATCTTTAATTTCTTTCACCAATATTTTGTAGTTTTCAATGTATAATTGCACCACTTTCATTAAATCTATCCCTAAATATTTTATTATTTTTCATGCTACTGTAAATATAAGTGTTTTATTAATTTCATTTTTGGATTGTTTATTGCTGGTATATAAAATACCCTACATTTTGTATAGTGATCTTGTCTCCTGAAACCTTGCTGAACTGCCTTCTTAGTTCTAAGAGTTTTTAGTGGATTCTTTGGGCTTTGCTATGTATGAGATCATGTCGTCTCAAATAGAGGTCCTTTCACCTACTCCTTTCAATCTGGGAGCCTTTCCTTTCGTTTTCTTGCCTGATTATCCTGGCTAGACCCTCGGGTAAAATGTTGAATAGAAGTGTCAAGAACAAACATCTTTATCTTGTTTCTGTTCTTAGGGGGAAAGCTTTCAGTCTTTCACCATTAAGAATGGTGTTAGCTGTGGGTTTTTGGTAAATGTCCTTTATTTGGTTGAAGAAGTTCCCTTCTCTTCTGGTTTCTTGGGTGTTTTCATTATGAAAGGGTGTTAGATTTTGTCAAATGCCTTTCCTGACATGTACTGAAACGTTCATATGGTTTTTGTTCTTATGCTATTAATATGGTGTCTTAGTTGAATTGATTTTCGGGCGGGATGTAGCTCTCTTGGTCATGGTGTATAATTCTTTTTTTGTGTTGCTGGATGCAGTTGGCTAGCATTTTGTTGAGGTTTTTGCATCTGTAGTCACCAGGTACTGGTCTGTAGTTTTCTTGTAATGTCTTTGTCTGGTTTTGGTATCAGGGTGACACTGGCCTCATGGAATGAGTTAGAAAGTATTTCCTCCTCTTTTAAATTTTGGAAGAGTTTGTGAAAGATTGCTTTTAATTTTTCTTTAAACATTTGGTAGAATTCACCAGGGAAGCCATCTGGGCCTGAACTTTTCCTTTGTGTGAAGTTTTAAAATTACCAATTCAATCTCTTTGCTTGTTACGGGTCCGTATATATTTTCTGTTTCTTCCTCAGTCACTTTGGGCGGTTCGAGTCTTTCTGGGAATGTGTCCATATTTCTAAGTTTTTAAATTTGTTAGCATACAATTTTTGTATTGTTTCCTTATGGTTCTTTTTATTTTTGTAAGGTTGGAAGTAATGTCCTCTCTTTCACTTATGATTTTGTAATTTGAGCCTTTTCTTTTCTTTTTTTTCTGACCAGACTAGCTAAAGGATTGTAATTTTGTTGATCTTTTCCATGAACCAGATTTTGGTTTTGTTGCTTTTCTTTATTGTTTTTGTATTCTCTATTTCATTTATTTGCATTCTAATCTTTATTATTTCCTTCCTTCTGCTTGCTTTGGGTTTAGTTTGCTTTTCTCTTTTTAGTTCACGAAAGTAGAGGGTTATGTTATTGATTTCAGCTCTTCTTTTTAATATAGGTATTTATAGCTATCAGTGAGTTTCTATCCTAGAAAATTAGTAACACTTAAAAAACATGTATTTGAGCCAGCCTGATGGCCTAGTGGTTGAAGTTCCCCGCTCTCGGCCTTGGCGGCCTGGGTCTGTTTCCTAGTCGTGGAAACACCACCCATCTGTCAGCTGCCGTGCTGTGGTGGCTCACAGAGAACTAGAAGGACTTACAACTAGGATGTAAAACTGTGCCCTGGGGCTTTGGGAGAAAAAAAGTGGAAGATTGGCAACAGATGTTAGCTCAGGGCAAATCCTATTCTACAAAAAAAAAAAAGTGTATATATATTTGATTACAAAATACTGCACACTTGCTGTTGCAAAATCTTAAAATTCAAGGTAAGAATGGAGAAAAATGTTACCCATAATCCCACGTCACCAAGTTAACTACTGTTAACTGCTTAGTGTGTTTCCTTAGAGGTCTTTATGCGTGGGCTGAATGTGAATCTGTTTCACCGCAGTCCATAACCCTTCCTTTTCCACAAATGCGGGACTGCGTCTCAGTGTGTGGTCGCCTGTTTCTCGTGTCGGCGTATTCCCCCTGCTGCATTTCTCCTTTCTCATGTCTCCCTTCTCTTGCGATTGTTACTTGTTCTCTTTTTGAATTCCTTCCTACCACGTTGGGCTCCCGGGTTGGGACCTGGGTCTTAGTGATAGTGGTAGCCCCAGCCCCTCCCGCGGCTGGCCCTGAAGGAGTGGCTGGGTCCTGGGCAGGGGTGCCTGCCAGCCTGGGTGCTCCTGGAGCTCCCCTTGGCGCCACGCTCCCTGCCCGCAGAGGAGGCTGGAGGCAGATAGACGCCCCCCTCTGGGCTTCCTCTAGGGCTGAGCTGACAGCTGAGGTCACCCAGATGTGCAGGCATCCAGGCCTGTGGGGCTCCTCATCGCCGGAGGGACTCTCATGAGGCTGTGTGGCTTTCCTTGTCCCTGCCACCCCACAACCAGGCGTGAACTTCAGCCTGGACCACTGCAGCCCCAATGGCACAGACCCCTACAAGCCCAAGTGCCCCGAGAGCGACGCCACCCGGCAGGCGCCCGCCTTCCCCCAGTGGCTGACCGTCATCCTGCTCTGCCTCTATCTGCTCTTCGCCAACATCCTGCTGCTCAACCTCCTCATCGCCATGTTCAAGTGAGTGCCGTGGGCGGGCTGACCCAGGCTGCCCGGCCCTGCTAGCTTCCTGCCATTGCCACGGGCAGTGTGACCAGAGCGTGAGCTGGGGACCCTGGTCCTCGGAGGCGCCCAGCTCAGCCCAGCTAGAACGTGCATGGCCACTCTCCCTGGTCACTGGTGCATCTGTCCAGGGCCCTGCTGTGGGGACCAGCTCGCAGGTGGTGCCAACCCCCAGGCCGTGCTATGTGGAGGCCGCAGGCCAGGGGCACATTGATGTCTTGCTCCTCGCCTCTCCTGGGCTCCTTCCTGGGGTCAGCAGGACTGCAGGGGGTGGGCTCCAGGTTCATGGTCACGGACCAGCCTACAGAGTCACTGGGCACGGCACGGGGAAGTCAGCCTCCCTGGAGGGGGCTCGGGGCACAGCGGTGTGCGAGGGGCAGCTTAGATGCCCGCCTGGGGAAAATCCCGGGAAACACATTGAGCTTCACTCAGCCTCTGTCCTTTCCGAGAAAATACTATTTCACAGGTTGTTTGTGGAGAGGAAATAAGATTCTGAGGGTGAAAGGTTTGGTGCAGGCCTCCCACTTTGCAGAGAAGGGAATCGGGCTGGACGGGGCTGCTCTGAGGGCTCTCATTGTGGGCAAGCGCATGTCAGCACTGATTGAAAATGCTGCTCTGCTGATGCAGGATGACCTGTGGGACCCGGGACCCTTGTGAAAATCCCTGAATTGCTGGTCTGAGTAGGCACTGTTTCTCTTCCCCTTTTATCAGCTAAGTTGCTGAGGTTGTCACTTTCTGATTTAATGTGCACTGGCACTGTGCTATAGAGGCCAGGAGGGGTCAGCTGGCCAGGGGCTCTGTCCCTGTAGCAAGTGAAACCAGTGTGGCTGCATTTATGCACCGCTGACCTCCCCTCGAGAGGGGCTCTCTTGCCTCGGATTCGGCTCTGCCGAGGTCCATCTGCAAGATGACAGATGTGCAGAGAATAAATGCGTCTGCCCGTTAAAGACATCGTTCCTCCTGTTTGCCAGATTCGACTGATAAACTCCTGTTGGAGTTCACTGCCAGGACATTGTCCATCTCCTGAGAAACGTGTTGCTTTGTTCTTCTCCCCTTGGCTCCCAGGAAGCTCAGAATTCCGAGGCTGGCTGATCAGCTTTCTTTTTCTGCACCTAGACTTGCCCTCCTGGGCGGTGTGTGTTTGCTTTTTATGGGCATCAGCCAGACACTCCAGGCATGACATGGGCGTGTTCCGTGTCTTGTCGTTCTCGGGTGACCCATGTGTTCCTTGCCTCCCTGCCAGCTACACGTTCCAGCAGGTCCAGGAGCACACGGACCAGATCTGGAAGTTCCAGCGCCACGACCTGATAGAAGAGTACCACAGCAGGCCCCCGGCGCCGCCCCCCTTCATCCTCCTCAGCCACCTGCATCTCTGCATCAGGAGGGTGGTCCTGAAGATACCCGCCAAGCGACACAAGCAGCTCAGTAAGCCAGCCCCTCTGCTGTCCCCAGAGCGTGTTCCCAGCCATCTTGGGGAGCAGACGGGCACTGAGGGGTAGGCATGGCAGCTCCTTCTGAGATCCTGGGAGCTGGGCAGGTATGCGGACCACTCAGGCCGTGAGCTCCCCCAGCCTACTCAGGGGTGGGCGTGGTGAGGCTCCTCCTGCCATGTAGGCTGCAGACCCCCCGACCCAGTGGGGCCCTGGAGTGGGTCAGGGCTTCACGTGTCCTCCTCACGCAGAGCTCAGGTCCCTCTGTCTGCTCCTTCCACAGAGAACAAGCTGGAGAAGAACGAGGAGGCCGCCCTGCTGGCCTGGGAGATCTACCTGAAAGAGAACTACCTGCAGAACCAGCAGTGCCAGCGGACGCAGAGGCCGGAGCAGAAGATCCAGGACATCAGCAATAAGTACGGGAGCCAGGACAGTCCTCTGAGGGAGACGCCACCGCCTCCTGCTGTTCCATGACCCCATAAGGGCAGAGCCCACCTTGGCGGGGGTGGGGGAGGCGGCGACTGGTCACCTGGGGCAGGAAGCCCCTGTGCCTCAGACTGGACCTGTGTCCTCAGCTGATCCTCGGCCTCTGGGTTCTAGGGAAGGCTGGATCCGTGCGGGGAGGAGGATGAAGCCATCTGTGCTGGGGCTGAGGCGGACCCCGGGCTTCCTGGAGAGGCAGGGGTAGAGGGTCCCTGGTGGAGGGGCAGGTGGGCCCACAGGAGGCCGACTCAAGGCCTGGGAGGGTGAGCATGGAGCTGGTTGGCACACGGCCTTGCTGCAGCTCTGCAGGGCATTGCTCAGCCGGCCGGGACCTCAGGCGCGTTCACGCCGTCTTCCTGCTCTCCACTTCTCCGCCTGCTTCCTTCCAGGCCGTGAGCTGGGGGTGGGAAAGGATCTCTGCTCTTTCTCTCCACCCTGCCCCGCTCCACCGTGGTGTGGGCCAGCAGGGCCCTTGGAGCATAGATGTGGGGTATGGTCCTGTTGTCAGTGTGGGTCTCACTGTGGGCCAGGAGGAGGGAGGGGACACTGGCCACCCAGACATGCAGCTCCTGCCCCTGGCCCAGAGGTTCCCGTAGGCTGTGGAGGGGGCATCCTGGGGTTGCAGAGGAGTGGCCAAGAGCCTGGGCTCCCTCTGCCCAGGCCAAGTGCCCCCTCCTTAGACATGGACACCTGCCTGTCTGTGCCTCTCTTGGCTTGTCTGTGCGATGGAGATGATGCTAGTATCTGTCGCTGGGAGGCATTTCCAGAAAGCAGTGGGAGTGAGCGTGTAAAGTCTTTGCACGTCCCGTGCTGGGGTCACAGCCGGTGCCCCATCACCATCAGTTATTGTGGGTGTCGCTCTTATTGTCACTGCTGCACATTAGTGATGACAGTGGCGCCTGGCCTGGTCACCTTCTCTCCATGGGTTGGGTGAAGAACCGAGGCCCAGGGAGGCAGCATGGCGCCCTGGCCCCACAGCCTTGGGGCTGAGCTGAGCCGACCCCACTTGTCATGGTGACTGAGTTGCGGGTCCCAATGCGCTCCGCCGCCTTCTTTCGGATAACCACACAGCATGCCTGCGAGGCTGGCTGGGGAACCGTGGGGAGTGGTAATGTGACTGTTGTGGGATGAAGCAGCACGTAGTGAGAATGGAAGGAAACTCCCCGGCCCTTGGGAAGGCATCCCTCCGTCTTCCCTCCACAACTGTTCAGAGTGGGGCTGGGCCCCAGCTCTGCATTCACCGTCACTGAAACGTTGCTCACTTTGTAACAGAAGAGTGTTCTTGGCAGTTGGCGCCGTAGGAGAGAGGAAGTACAGGAACCCTGGGCATAAACAGACGAGTGTTTGGACGGATGTTTGGTTTATGGGTTGTTTTACCTATAAACACAGCAGGCCAAAGTTGGGAGAAATTCCTGTGTTATAGCAAAATAAGACAAAAACCAGACATCTCCCAAAAACAGCACTGCTCCCTACCCCCAAAACTCCAGTGCTGCCCAGAGGTGGCTCTGTGGTTTGTGACTCAGGTTTCGGGGCTGTGGCTACAGCCTGTGGGTGAATCGAGGTGGGAGCCCAGGTGTGTGCGCAGCTGGCACTCCTGCGTCTCTCCCCGGGTGCACGGATGTGCTGTCAGAGCGCCGGTGAGCCCGGGTGTCACTCGCTGAGAGCTTCTTCTTGGGGCACCAGGCAGTGCTCATTCTATAGGAAATGCATATTAGAGGTACTTTCAATTTAAGGGGAAGACACCTGACATCGAGGCCAACAGAGCCAGGGCTGCTGTGTCTATAGGGCTGTCCACCTGCAGACTGGCACCACGTCTCCTCAGTGTCCGGGCCCCGAGCCCGGCCTGGCTGGCTCAGCTCTGTGCTCTTTCAGGGTGGACACCATGGTGGACCTGCTGGAAATGGAGCGTGTGAAGCGGTCGGGCTCCATGGAGCAGAGACTGGCCTCCTTGGAGGAGCAGGTGGGTTCTGGGCCAGGGCCTTGCGTCTGGGGCATGGATCCAGTGGGCCCGCTGGTCACTCTGCAGTGTGGTGGCCTTGAGAATGAGCCCTCTGGGAAAACAACAAAGATGAGGAGGTGGGGAGTCATCCCCAACTGGAAGAGGCACCCTCATCATCCTCCAGAAAATTCCACTGAACACTTCCCAGGCTGCGCTCCACCACACTCCACGGCGGGGTGTCCACACCCTGGGCCAGTCTGAGGAGCAAACTTTCATCCCTCCTCTGGCCTCCTCAGAGCTGTCCTCTGGACTCTGCACTGGGAACCTGGGAGGGGGCTGCTTTCTCAGGCTGCGGCTGCCCAGGGAGGGAGGGCAGCAAAGATGCGATTGAACGCTGGTGGATGATTGGGCCGAGGGGCAGCCTCAGAAAGCAGCCCCAGGTGAGAGGATGGAGGCTAGAAGGCAAAGGACCACAGCCTCCACCCCCCCCTCCCCGATCAGTGTCCACTGACGGCTCCCTGACAGCCGGGCCGCACTCACTGGGGTCCGGGCCCTCAGGCTGAGACGGGCTTCCTGAATGGCTTCTGGAATGAGAGTCATCCCCTCACAGGCCAGGTGGTGCCTGAGCGCTGCCAAGGGAGAGTAATGTGTGCTAGTTCGTTCATCCATCCATCCCTTCGTTTATTCATCAATCCATTCGTTCATTATCCATCCAACTATTCATTCATCAATCCATCCATCCATCCATCCATCCATCCATCCATCCATCCATCCGTTCATTCATCAATCCATCCATCCATCCATCCATCCATCCATCCATCCATTCATTCATCAATCCATCCATCCATCCATCCATCCATCCATCCATCCATCCATCCGTTCATTCATCAATCCATCCATCCATCCATCCATCCATCCATCCATCCATTCATTCATCAATCCATCCATCCATCCATCCATCCATCCATCCATCCATCCATCCATCCGTTCATTCATCAATCCATTCATCCATCCATCCATCCATCCATCCATATATTCATTCATCAATCCCTTCATTTATTCATCAATCCATTCGTTCGTTATCCATCCATCTATTCATTCCACGTTTCCTGTGCTCCTCTTCTATGCCTCATCCAAGACTGGCCTTGGGAATGTCAGGGTGAACAGGCGTTGTCTCGTTCTGGGGGTCCCAGTCAGGGGGCACAGACATAAACATCCATTGCCACAGTTTGTTTCCACAGGGTGGAACAGTGGGGGTGGAGTAAGCACCGTGAGGAGTTGGGAGGTGGATGCGAGGGCTGATGGTCAAGGAGGCCGGAGGCCTCCAGGACAATGGAGGGCAGAGTTCGGGTCCCCACCCCTGGTGCCCCGCCGTGGGCCTGCTCTGGCTTCCGGCCCCAGGACCTGTGCTTTCTGACAAGAGCCCTTGCTGCCCACAGCAGAACCCCCAACAGTTCCTGACCCAGAGCTGTAACTGGAGCACTGCCCTTCCCAGCCTTGCTGTGCTGGGTGGGGGCAGGCCACTCGGCCCCTCTGTTGGTGAGGCATCCACCATCAGCCAGGTCTTGCCAAGGGGCCACTGCACACTGGGGTCTGCCCAGGCCGCCTTCCCCCGGGAGGGGCTCTTGCCTTGCTGACACCCCCTGAAGTGAGTGCAGCCGCCGCCGAGCTGCATTCTCCTGGGCCCTGTTAGTCACAGACGGTTCCCGCCATCCTCTGTAGTTGAGCTCGTGTGGCCTCCGGAAGTTTCTTTCCTCTGGGAGGAGCAGGAGCTGTGGAAGCCTCCGTGGGTGGTCATGTGCCACTCTTCCTCTGGCTCAGACATGTCTTACTGGGGCTTCAAGTTGGGTGGATGGCCTCTGGTGCATCCAGTCCCAGCGGTCACTGTGTCTCATTGGCCAGCGCTGCTGGCAGTCAGCAGCCGTGACCCTGAGGGAAGCAGGACTGGCCTGGACACTGGAGGGGTGGCCCCGACTGGACGAGTCCTCTCGGTGGTGCCCTCGCTGTTTCGGCAGCTGCCTGGGGAACAGGTGGGCTGGAGGGGTGGGCGTGCCGCATGGGGGCAGGTGTTGACCAAATCTTGTTGGGATGTGCCTTCCAGGTGGCCCAGATGGCCGGAGCACTGCACTGGATGGTGAAGACCCTGAGGGACGGCGGCTTCGGCTTGGAGGAGGGCCTCCCCACTCTGGGTGAGTGGGTGGCCGAGCCAGCAGCAGTCTCTGCCAGCCTGCGTTCCTTTGAGTCTGGGGGTCTGTGGGAGGAGAGGCGGCAGGCAGGGGCTAGTGCTGGGCCTGGAGGAAGGCTGCGATCGCATCTGTTTCTGAGCCCTGCAGGCCCAGCGCCTTGGGGAGCATGGCCTGCTCCTCCCGACACAGGTGCCAAGCGCGGCTGAGCCCCCCAACTTGACTAGGTTGGGGCCTTCCAAGGGGCTCCTGGCCCACAGCCCCCCGACCACCTGTGCATCATGCTGCAAAGGGGGGCAGCTCTAGGAGATGTCATGACCCAGTCATGTCAACCGGGAGACAGAAGGCAAAGTGTGTTTTCCTAAGTTTGTGGCCAGCCAACAAACAGGCACGAGTATCCCTCAGGTGTTGCTGGCCCCAGGGGAGCAGGTGTGCGCTCCTTACCTGGACAGGCTTCTCTAGGGCCTGGAATCCAGCTGCTGGTAGCTGCACAGGAGGCAGGTGCTGGCTGTGGGGCACTGCCATCCTCAGATCACTGTCCTCCTCGGGCCTCAGTGCTGGGGCTCTGGGGAGGGTGCCCCCTTTCGGGCTGGCACTCAACCTGTGCTCGGGGAGGTGGAGGCAGCCCAGTTTTGGGGAAATAACCGTGGAGGATGTCCCTGTTCTGTGGGCCGGGTGCCTGAGCCCGGGCCTGGCTTTGCATACGGCTCCATGTGGCTGTTCCCAGCACCCCAGAAGGCCTCAGAGGGGCAAGACCCTGAGCTTGACGGAAGGCAGAAAGCAGAGGACCCGGGTGACGCCCACCACGTGAATGCCCGCCACCTCCTCTACCCTAGTTCCCGGGTTATGCGCTTCCCCGTGCCCAACGAGAAGGTGCCCTGGGAGGTGAGTGCCTGTCCCAGCCATGCTCCCCATCAGGCAGGGGCTCCCTGTGTTCTGTGGGGGAACAGTTCTGCCCCAAACCCTCTGACTTAAGGACAGAGGCACAGATCACAGTTCCCATCCACTGTAGCCTCACAGGGCCATGTTGAACAGATGGGGAAACTGAGGCACGCAGGTCCATACAGATAGAGGTGGTAGAGCTGGGATTTGAGTCCAGGGCGCCCATGGGCCTCTGATCCATGCACAGAGCCCAGCACAGCTCCAGGGCTGCTCCTACGGCCTGTCATCTGCCCTGGTACCTCTAGTCACCGCACTGTCCTAGATCCCACCATCCCAGGCGAACGGTCACTTCCCCCTTTCCTGAGGGCCCGGCGAGTGAGAACAACGGAGAGAGAGAGATGGTATTCGAGTGCCCACTCGCAGGCCTTCTCTCTGGCCTTTCTGGAACATTCCAGGCTGCTGCTTCCATTGCCTTCTCCCCAGTCTCTGCCAGTTGGAATCCTTGTCCCTCTAGAGTCCAGCTTAGACCTCTGTACCTAGACCACCAGTCCAGTCACCAGCCCCCTCGGCTGGGTCCCCTGTGGGGCGTGTCCCTCAGGTTGGCCAAGCTCAGAGCCATGGTGTGCACTGGGGGGCCGCCTCGGGGTCCTTGGCTGTGATGCTTTGAGGAGAAGGAGCCGCCCGCCCTCAGTCTTCCTGGGTGCCTGGGCCCGAGCTTTGACAGGGGCCGAGGATAACAGTCTGAGGAGAACGCCCCCGTTTCTGCAGACAGAGTTCCTCATCTACGACCCACCCTTTTACACGGCCGAGAGGAAGGACGAGGACATGGTGGACCCTGTGGGGAGGTGAGTGCGCACCTCTCCACTCTCCCCAGCCCTTCCTCACGGCCCAGGCGGGAGGGCGAGGGAGTGGCCTGGGTGTTGCAGAGTGACTGTGGGAACCCACTCAAGTGGGGGTCGGGCCTCCTGCCTGGTCGGGGCCCTGTTCTCCCCAGGGGCCCGGGACACGCTTGGGAGGTGCATGGTTGGGGGTGCCCCTGGCCTGGTGAGGGGCCCTCCTGTCCTCTGCCCGTGGCCTGGCCAGCCGCGTCCCAGGACTGGGCCGAGGCCTGCAGTCACCGAACCGCCCTGCCTCCACCGACTCTCATGGGGGCCGCCTTCCTGTCCTCTCCCAGCACCCTGGAGCCTCTGTCCGGGATCAGCTACAACGCCCTGGATGGCCCCGTGGACCGCCGCAGCTCCCACGGCCCCTACGCCGTGCAGGACGGGCTCCCTCGGTGAGTGCCGCCCTGCCCAGGGCTTGCTGCTGGGGTCAACCTTCTTCTCTTGGCAATCTGCGCATTTTTCCGATTAAAACAATAGGGAAGAAAAGAAACATCAACCTAAAGCATTTACTGGCACCCCCACGGGGAACTGTCCCCTGCAGGACACGGTGGGGAGTGGGGAGGGCGGGGACTTGCCCCAGCTGGCCGGGGCGCCTCGCCCTGCTTCCCTGAAGTCTCCTTGATGATTTCCACTCCTCTGCGGTACAATGCTGGTGACCTTGCTGGCCGACCTCCATAGACGCCTGAGAAGGAAGCAGGAGTGACAGAAAGGACTCTGCCGGCAGGGGGAGCTGTTACAGGGCCACTGGGGTTACTTTAGGGGGTGGTGGCATGTCCCAGCTTCTGTTCTCTGTAGGGACAGGCACTGAGCCCCATTGTACAGGTGATGCATTGGGGTTACGTTTAGGGGGTGGTGGCATGTCCCAGTGTGTGTCCTCTGTAGGACGGGCATTATGCCCCATTGTTCAGGTGAGGTATTGGGTTTACCTTTAGGGGGTGGTGGTGTGTGGTGCCCCATTGTACAAATGAGGACACCCCACATAAAGATGTAGGTGACTGGTGGTGTCACACCCAGAAAGCACTTGGTGACGGCCTACGTCCCAGCCTGGGGTTCTAGAGGAAAGGAGCCTCTCTGACCCAGGGTCACTGGGGAGGTGGCACCACCAGGGTCCCGAGGCTAGGAAGGGGCCGTGAGAATTAGAGGAATGAGGGCACGCTACTGGGATGTGGGGCGCCCCATGGTGCAGGCGGGAGCTGAGGGGGCCTGAGGGAAGAGGCAGGTGGCGGGCCTCTTGGGGAATGTTCTGGAACAGGGAGTGGGTTACTCTGCCTGGATCCAGAGGCTGTGTAAGGAGGTGTGGAGACGGATGGGGTCTGAGAACAGAGACGGTACCAGGAGTGGTTTCAGCTCTGGTGGCGGGAGGTTGTACAGGACGGGGCAGAGCGGCGTTAGGAAGGTGCAGGTGGAGCTGTGGGGAGAGGGCAGTGTCTCAGGGGGACCAGCCAGGTGCCCGCGCTCACGTGTGCTGAGGCCTTCAGATGCAGACACCTGCAGTGCGGTGCAGTGCGATGGGGTGTCATGCACTCTCTGGGGGACACGACGGCCACTTTAACACCTGGCGCATCTGCAGGGGCTGACCTGCTCCCAAGGCCCCTTTCCTTTTCCTTTTCCTTTCCTTTCCTTTCCTTTCCAATGGACCCCAACGTAACCTGAAGCCCCTGCTTCACCCTTTGGAGTCCCCAAGGGACAAGACTGGCCGAGGACATCCCTGGGTGGGCGAGGCGGGTTCGGCAGGCTGGCGGAGGGGTCCTGTCTGGGCCTGCACGCAGTGGCCCCTTCCCTGCTTCCATCGAGGCGGGCGGCCTGGGCCCTGAGAATCCTGGCCCGGGGCCGGGCCGGGCCGCATGCTGCCCGTGTGAGTGCCCCTGCCTGCTGTCCCCTCTCAGCCACCCTCCCTGCCCAGTCCTGGGTCTCCCAGCAGAGGGCGGCCAACTGAGCAGACCCCTCTCCACCCTAGGAACCCCATGGGCCGCACAGGGCTGTGGGGGCGTGGGGACCTCACCTACTTTGGACCCAACCACACGCTGCAGCCCGTGGTCACCCGGTGAGTCCGCCAGCGATGAGGACACGTGGTCACCCACACGCCTTGTGAGGGACTCACTCTCTGACCCTTCCCCCTGCGCCGGAGAGCCCAGAAGACAGTTCGTACTTGGTGCCCGGTACCAGCCTCATGGCGGGGCCTGGATAAATGAGGTGCATCCCGAAACACAGGGCATTTCTGGAGTCATGAAGGTGGACCAGCTGGGTCCAGGGCACGTGCTTCTTTAAGGCTTTTGATAAAGAAATATTCTCCAAAAAGGCTGGGCTGTTCTGGTCCAACCAGCGGTTCTGGGAGTGGGGAGGACACCTCCAATGGTTACCATCTCTTTCTTTCCCTGGAGCAAGAACTCAGGAGAGGATACAGGGTGGGGGCTCCCCCTGGTGCAGGGGCAGGTGGGCTGACCTCAGCACCTCTGGGAGCTGTGAGCCGGGCCACTTTTGCAGTTGGAGGCGGAACCAGGATGGAGCCATCTGTAGGAAGAGCATAAAGAAAATGCTGGAAGTGCTGGTCGTGAAGCGCCCTCTCTCAGAGCACTGGGCCCTGCCGGGGGTAAGCATCGCCAGCCGTCTGTCTATCCATCGCTCATCCGTTCGTCCGTTCCACTCACTGACTGAACACCAGCCCCTGCGGCCCCTGCCCTGGACCGTGCTGGACTCTGTCCGTGGTTCTGCATGACCGCGTCTGGTACCCGGCCTATCAGAAGGGATTCTCCCTCCTGCTTCCTCACTTCGCAGCTGTGGAACAGGTTCAAATGCTCTTGAGTGTGCAGGAACGAAGTCAGCCCCTCTGTGTCCCTGGGGCCGCTGAGGAGGCTGAGCCGGTCTCCTGGCGGAGTTCACAGCGCTGGGGGCAGGCACGGCTCCCCACGCAGACGTCTCAGGTGCGCCCCTGCCCTCACCCTGCAGCCCCAAGCTGAGCTCTAAGGACGGGATGGCCTTGTCCAGGGGCCAGGACAGGGGTCAAACAGCCCCTCAGCTCCGGGGCAGCAGCTGGTTGTGGGGCTGAATGCCGGAGTGCAGCCCAGAGGCCTTGGGAGGATGGACAGAATCATGGTACAGAAGGCCCTGGGCCTGTCCTGTCCGCATGGGCTAAGCTGCTCAGGTCTTGCTCCCAGATCGGTCTGCCCTCCCCGCCCCTATCATTACTCTGGGGTCAGAATAGTCTCGTTCTGGCAGGAGGGCTGTGTCACCAGCCAGGCGCTGGGCTGGCACACAGTGTCTGGGACATGGCCCTGTCCGGGGTCCTCTCCTCTGAGCCTGTTCCTCGGTACCCTGACGTTTACCCAACTCAGCAAGAAGCTGCCAGGTTTCTCTGACATCCACCCTGTGGCCCAGGGCTGCTCTGCTGGGGGTGGCATGTTAATGGGAGTGGGTGGGGTGTGGGGCAGTGGTGTCACCTCCGGTGTTCAGGCCCCACTGAGGATTCCAGGGCTCTGGGCAGCTCTGGCCCTTGTAGCTGTGACCCCGTGCCCTCAGCGAGGGGGCCCCGTCTGAGCCCAGGTCCGGCCCCTCTCCCCGAGAGTTCTTCTGCACGATTCAGGCTCCCTCGAGGGCCCTTTGTCGCTCCAGGCGGGACACTGGCCCCAGCCCTGGCACGGTTCCTGCCGACGGGCATGTTCTGAGCAGTGTCCCTGTGCCCTGAGCCGGACACTGAGGGGCCTCTGATGAGCCTGCACGGGTCCCCCTGCCACAGCGAGCGAGGGCTGAGGTGGGATGGACATGACGTGGACTGTGAGGGACTCAGTGACAAACAGGGTCCCCTAGATGGGTGAGGGACAGGGAGTGCAGGGTCTGTGTCCATGGGGCAGGTGGTGTCAGGAGCGACCGGGAGCCCCTTGTGCAGGCACAGAGTGAGAGATGGGGGCTGGGGACGCAAACAAGCAATGAAGACACAGCCCGCCGCTGTGGCCTGGGCGGTGGCGGTCAGGGCACTGGCTACCTTACTGGGAGCCTGAGAGAGGCGCTGGTGCCCAGCACATGGCTGCGCCTTTGGCCTGACACGCCCCACTCTGTCGTGGGCTGACGTTGGCAGTGGGCTCTGGGCAATGTCACTCCAGCCCCGAGTCAGCCAGGCTGCCAGACGCTTGTCCACCCGCGCCTCCTGGGGGCTGGTCAGCTGCCTGCACCAGGCAGGTGGCCAGTGGAGGTGGGTCCCTGGATGGCCTTGCCCACTTGCATCCAACTCCCTCTCTGCTCAGGGCTCCCGGGAACCAGGAGAGACGCTGCCCCGGAAGCTGAAGCAGGTGCTCCGGAGAGAGTTCTGGCCTTCCTTCGAGAGCTTGTTGACTCAGGGTGTGGAGGTAGGGTGGCCTGCCTGCTTTGCCCCCACCTGTGTGTCCTGAGCCCCCACGGTGTGCTGGTCACGAGGGCTGCAGGACGAGCAGGATGGGGCACAGGGAACCTGCTCCCAGCCCACATCCTGAAGCTCCTGGAGGGAGGAGCTGGGACCAGGGGGCGTGGCCGTGGCTCTGGGCCTCAGGCACCTGGCGGCCCTCTCTGTCCCGGTTTCTCCTCTCTAAGTCAAGGGGGAGGGCAAGGACCTTTGCTGCCTTCAGAGGTGGTGGCGGGTTGAAGGGGGTCCTGGTGTTCAGTCCCTCCTTTCCACCCACGCTCCCTCTTGCCCTGAGCACAGCTGGGCACATGGGGACCCACAGCGTCTGTGCCTCTCAGGACACAGGAGGGGTTGCTCCCCACGCCCTGGAGAGAGATGCGCAGCTGGTCCCTTGTGCATTTGTCAGGCCTGTTTCTTTATTGAATCTTTTCTAAATTACAAAAGCAATGTGTGTTTCCCAAAACACATCCAGAATGCAGAAGGGCAGTGGTGACAGTGACACCACATCCACACTCACCCCCAGTGCTGCCCAGGGGGACAGTGCCAGACATTTAGTTCACTTCTTCAGGCCCCGTGTCAGCTCCGTCTTCAGCTCTGTCTATACTCACACACGTGCCCAGTTTTTCAATAAAAACGGGCTACATGGTGCACAGTTCTCCATAACGTGCTTTTCACTGAATTTTCGATGGTCGTATTTTTAGGTCCATATTTACAAACTTACCTCACTCTTTTTCAAGACCGCATCATATTTCATGAACTACATAATATTTTGTGCCACGATTTGTTTAAATGGTGCCCTAGGTGGGCATCTAAGTTGTTACCACGCCTACTTTTGTCACATCTTAGGATGACACAGGCAATTGCTGAGCTGTATGGTTTTGACCTATGAACCAGCAGTTTTGTATGCTTTGTCCCGTGCATGCCTTGGGGACACCGCCATCTCTGTTTTCCTTACTTCGTAGAAAGAATTAGTCTATTTATTGAGGTGAAATCTGCATAACAGAAAATTAACCATTTCGAAGTGAGCAGTTCAGGGGCATTTAGTACATTGACAGTGCTGTGCGACCACCACCTCTGTCTGGCTCCAGAACATTCCCGTCACCCCAAGAGGAAACCTGGTACCCATCAGCGTCACTCCCTCCCCTCCCCCAGCCCCTGGCAACCTCTAACCTGCTTTCTGTCTCTGGATTTGCCTCTTCTGGACATCTATCGTAAGTGGAATCATCCAGTAGGCGGCCTTCAGCGTCTGGCTTCCTTCACTTAGCGAGATGTTTGTGAGATCGCCACCCCTCTTTAATCCCGCTGAGCAGTGGAGGCGGGTCTGGATGCCAGGCCAGAGAGCTGGGGGAGATGGGTGAGGCTGTGGTCCCTGGCCACGTGTCAGTCAAGGCTGAAGGCCGTGTCGGGGAGCAGGCCGGACGGGGCAGGGAGAGACCCAGGCCAGGGCTCAGTGGACAGCTGTGCTCAGAGCGTCCCTGGGCTGGATGAAGCATGGGGAGACACGTGAGGACCCTTCTTCTGGAAGGAAGCCGGCGGGGCTCACCCTGCGCTGTCTCTCAGGTGTACAAGGGGTACGTGGACGACCCTCGGAACACGGACAACGCCTGGATTGAGACGGTGGCTGTCAGCATCCACTTCCCAGACCAGAGTGACGTGGAGCTGAAGAGGCTGAACTCTGTATGGGGCTCGGGTCTCAGGCTCCGAGGAGGGGGGAGACTTGGGGCGAGCATGCTCTGGAGGGGCCCCGGGCCTGCAGGGAGGAGTCTGACTGGGACCAGAGAGTAGGGCCTGGGTCAGAGTCCTGCTTGGAGGGTACCAACGGGGGACCCAGGAGAGGCCAGAGGCACAAGCACACGGCTGGAGTGGAGTCAGGGCTGGACGGGCGCCCTGGGACGGGGTCCTCTGGGGGCCTCCAGGCTCATGTCCAAGGGAGGCTGGTTCACCCACCTTTGTGGGGAGACCGCCCCCCCATACATCACTCCTCATATCCCTAACGGAGAACTGGAGCCAAAGAGGCTCGGGGGACAGACTTGGCTCATTTGCCGGCTGGGGCGCCTCAGAACACGGCTGCGCCCACTCTCTCCTCCTTCAAGGACATCGGGGCTTGGCAGGGTTTTCTGAGGGGCAACCGCAGTAGGTGTCCTGACCCCGCTTCCACAGCAGAGCAAAGTGAGCCAGCCACGGGCCTGACCTGGAGCGAGGGCCGAGGCTGGGGTCGTGCCCCCGCTGCCCCTCTGCAGTCCGGGCTTTGGGGTGTCTGGGTGGAGGTGGAGCCAGCCCAGGAGGGAGTCAGGATCTGCCCCTGTCCTTGCAGCACCTGCAGCCCTGCGACCCGGGGATGTCCGTCCGGTGGCAGGTCGTGGACAAGTGCATCCCGCTGTACGCCAACCACAAGACCATCCTCCAGAAGGTGGCCGCTCTGTTCGGGGCTTACTATTGACCTCAGGGGCGGGCGAGGCCAGTCCGTCCAGGGGCCCCTCGGAGACGGGCTGCTCGTTCCTGGTGCTGGCCGCCCAAGGCTCACGCAGCCCTGGACCTCAGACAGGCAAGGGGCTGCTGCCGGGACGCTGCATGATGTGGTTTGGGGACCTGCCATCCCTCACACCAGCTGGAGTCGCCGGCCAGACAAGCTCGTGAATGGAAGGCGCCAGGGCGCCCTGAGGGGAGAGCTGAGGCAGGCGACAGGCGGCCAGTCACACCGCAGTTCCTCAGAGCTGAGGTGGCCGCTGGCACCCCGCCAGCCATCGCTGCCTCTCCTGAGCAGGCTGGCAGCCTGTCAAGGGGCTGTGGGCCCCTGGCGGCCTTGACCCTCGGCTGGAGTTGCTCCCTCCTGGTCGTGTCATCCTGAGCAGCACGTCCACCACCAGCGGTGCAGGGGCCCACAGCCTGCATTTCCTGGACAGTTGGGGTTCCCCTGTGGCCTCCTCCTTGGGCTCAGGCCCCCCACATGGCCTCCACTCTGACATAACTCGGACTCTCGCCTGGCTTGGGGCAGGGCAGTGTGGGAAGCCCAGTTCAGCGCCCCGGGCTGCCAGGGCTGCGCCCCTTCGCAGAGACGGGGTACTGGGCAAGCACAGGCCTGCTCCAGAGATGCAGAGGGTCTCTGCCTGTTCGCTGCCCCAGGCCCCAGGTGGGGTCCCCTACACCTGCACTCCCTGCTTCCCCTTCCTGTGAGCCTGGAGGGAGCAGACGGTGGGCGTGGACAGTGGGGGGCCACTGGGTTCAGTGTCGGTGACTCACAAGCCATCAGTGTAAACCGTCAGGAGTGAACCAGAAAATAAACAGAGTCACAGAGGTGTGCGGTGGTCACGGGGCTGTGGCTGGGCCACCGAAACCTCTCTCACCTCACGGGCAGGCTTTCCGTGGCCTGTGGCTGTCTCTCCACGGACACCCTGCAGGCCCCTCAGGTCCAAACTCTCGATTTCCCTCTGACCCCCGACCCCCAGGCTCCGTCTCCTTCATCCTCTTAGATGAGCCCGCAACTGGGACTCAGCACCCTCGGGCCCTCGCCCCGCTCCCCCACCCTGCAGGTGCTCAGGCACGGGGGTAGGAGTGGGGGGCCTGGCTTTTTATCTGGAATCACATACCCAGCCAAGCCAGCCTTCAAGCCGAAGCACCAAATAAACATTTTAAAATAGTAAGGACACAGAAAATGTGTTACTCATGCGTCCTTTCTGAAAGAATTTCTCAAAGATGAAGTACAGAAAAACAAAACGCACTGACTTAGTGGGCCAGGCTGCCACGACAGAGCACCGCAGGCGCGGCTTTAGCCGCAGACACGTGTCCTCTCAGTCCTGGGGGCTGGATGTACGCAACCAGGTTGCCACAGCGCTGGGTTCTGGAGGGAGCTCTCTTCCCGCCTGTAGGGCCCCCCCCGCCGTGTCCTCACGCGGCCTGTGCTCGGCATGCGTGGAGACGGAGGCTGCTCTCCTTCTCCTCTTATAAGGACACCGATCCTTCAGGGCTCCGCTCTCATGACCCCGTGTAACCTTACTTACTTCCTTAGAGGTCCCACCTCCAAACACAGCCCCACTGGGAGTTCGGGCTTCCACGTAGGAATTTTTGGGAGGGATGCAACCATTCAGTCCAGAACACAGACACAGACACACACACACACACACACACACACACACACACACAGACTGAGCTCTGTGGATAGCAAGGGAACCACTAAAATGTGCGGCTGAGTCTTGTAATTGTTGAGACACAATGTGAAAAGAAAATTGAATAGCTGAGAATTGAGTCCCAGCTGGTCTCCCGGGAGCGCAGAGGAGACCCCGGGCGGGCCGAGCTCATTGAAGGTCTTCCCTCGCTCAGGAGAAAGAAACGGATGCCGCCTAGATCCCGGGCTGGAGGGAAATGTGGGCTGACAAATGCAGGCGGGCAGCCGAGTGCATTACGGCTTAGGGCGGCCACGCGAAGGACAGACAGAGGAGTGACTTTAAACCACCAGGGGAATTAAACCAAACAACAACAAAATCAAGGAAAAAATATCCATCGAAGATGGTTAATGTGAAATAAAATGGCAGGAGATAGTCAAAACGTGTCTGTCATTATGTCATACATAAACTGTGATTCTCATATTGGGGTACGAAAAGGACACAACAGATTTCTCTTGTTTTCCGTACATTTTCCTATATCGGTCAAAACAAAAGAGACATTTAATAGCTGACAACATGGGGAGTCCCACTAGGCAGAGAGGAAGGTATGCAAACAGCTCCAGCAGACCAACAGAACTCAGGCTCAAGTGTGTCCTTCAGGGAACAGAGAGGAACCTTCGACTGGATAAAGGTATCACTCCATCGAGAAATAGTACTTTCGTCAACTGTTATCTACCTAACGCCGTAGCTTTTTAAAATACATGAAGCAAAATTGATAGAAATTCAAGGAGAAATCGGAAACTTCACAGTAATATTTGAGACCTCTCAGAAATCAAGAAATCAAAAAGCAAAAGGAAAATAGGGTGGAATTTGAATAACGTAGTCAACAAAGTTGGGGTCATTCTGTGTGTGTCTGTGGTGTGTGATTATGCATACAGGTGTGTGTGTATTTATATATAAATATATATTATACATAGAAACGGCGTATAATTTACATATAGATTTGTTTACATATGCATTATGTGCTATATATTTATATGTGTGCAGTAAATTGTGTAACCCATAAATACAGACATGGCACATGATGAACATACTGTTCATAGTTACAGACTTCCTCTGTGTGTGTGACTTTGCACCCACCCAACGACAGCAACGAGAAGGCCCAGAGGACACACCTGGTTCTCAGACACACACAGGACAGTCACAAAAGCTGAGTGCACACCACACCATCAAGGAGATCTCAGTGACTTTGTGAGGGCAGCCCATCACCGAGGCCACACGCTCTGGCCACAGCGTTAGAGCAACATTGGAACGTGGGAACGTGGCCGTACGCCAGGAGAGGACAGAAATACCTCTGGTGGTTCCAGGCGCTTGCACTTGGGACGGTGAGTGACCAGTCCCCGGACTAGCTTGCTGGGGCTGGGCGCTGCTGGTGATGCCACCCTCTGCCTTCCGCCCTCCCTGGAGAGGCTTCTGTCCTCTCTTTGGAGCCTCCTGCTTCGGAGGTGGGAGGACCAATGGGCAGCAGCTGTGCCTCTATGGGGACGGCAGACGCTGTCCCTGCGACTCTGGTCAGCGCTCGGTCCCAGGGCCATCCCCAGCTGCACGGGATTTGGGGCAAGCGAGAACCATGGGCTGGGATTGTCTAGGGAGGGCCATGGGGGCCGCCTGCGCCCTTCCCCGCCCCCCACCTCCCTCCTGCCCTCGACGTGCACCTTCAGTGGGGAGCGAGCGAACCAGAAGCCACACAGTGAGAGGATCCCATGTCCCACCCGGGGTGTGGCTGCAGAGTCTCAGGGGGAACAGTTATAACCTAAATGCATTTATTTAAAAGTCAAAAGACGGAAAGGAAATTAGCTAAGGTGATGACTCAAGAAGCTCAAAACCCAGCTACAACATAAATCCAGGGACTAAGGCAGGGACAAAGTCAGAATTTAATGAAGGAGGGAAAAATAAAGAATCGGCATTGGGGGCCGGCCCCCTGGCCGAGTGGTTAAGTTCACACTTCGGTGGCCCAGGGTTTGGCCGGTTCAGATCCTGGGCGTGGACACGGCACTACTCATCAAGCCATGCTGAGGTGGTGTCCCACACAGAAGAACTAGAAGGACCCACAACTAGAATATACAACTATGTACTGGGGGGCTTCGCGGAGGAAAAAAAAAGATGGGCAACAGATGTTAGCTTAGGGCCAATCTTGAAAAAAAGAATCTGCAAGAAAAAATAGGGTCTTGAGAAAGACAACAAAATTGACAAAACTTGGATTTGTGAGATCTGGGGTGGCAGGAATGTGCAGGGAGAGCCCCCAGAGGAGACAGATCTGGAAATGCCAGTGACAAACGAGAGATGTGGTGAAGGTGGCCATCCTCTTCCCGCAGGGAAATCGGCAGCCAGGGAGTGGAGGCAGTCTGGTTCTGACGGCCCAGGGAAGGACGCCAGGGGGGCAGGGCCCAAGCCCAGGGTGCTGCTCAGGGCTTCTTTTTGGTTTTCCAATTCGTCTTTCAAGATCAGGCAGAGAGAACCAGGAATTCAGGGAGATCCAGGAATTCAGAGAGATTGAGGAATTCCGGGAGCGTACAGGAAGGTTCAGTCTTGGCCAAAGCTGCTCAGGATAGTTTTGCCAAGGCCAACAATCCATCCATGAGGCCCTTTGGTGACCTTCGGGGCTCCCATGCAGCGAGCCGGCTCCCTCAGCTCCCCTCGGTCCTCTGCCTTTGTCCTGCTCCAGCCCCTGCCTGTGAGCTGGCTGCTCTCAATGCTGCCCAGTGGGCTGAGGTCCTGTCTGAGGGTCCCCTTGGCTGGGTAAGGGCAGAAGTGGGGGCAGTGTGGAGGCCGGGGCAGCAGAGGCCCGAGCCTGGCCCCATGGAAGGCCGGGTGGGAGAGCTGGTGGCCAGTGCACGGCCCAGAGGAAGGGCCGGCCAGGCCACTCTGTGATCCCTCTGTGGGGAGGGCAGCGTTCTGGCCTCAGCAGGAGGTTTTATTCATCTGCCTGATTTCATCCTGGCCCTTGTGGATGCTGCAGGCTCTGCTCCTCCACGCTGATCCCCAGGGACGTGCACGCGGGCCTAGTCCGGCAAAACATCCTTCCTGGTGGGGAAGCAATTAACCAGCTGGAGCCTTGCATTATATCCCTGGGGCCATGAAGCCAGGATCCTGGGTGGATAAATGGTGAGATAATCAGAGCTCAATAACCGTCAGAAGGACAGCTGCAGTGGTCAGACCACGTGGCTGGGATGGCATTAGAAGGTTCCTGGTGCTTCTGAGAGCACAGGCTCACGGTCCGGAGAGGACAGTGGGCCAGCTCTCACCAGGCCCTGTGGCCTGGGCCTGGCCAGTGGCCAGCGCCACCCCTTGGAGACTCTGATGTTATCACCTAGTGAGGCAGGCCAGCAACTATGAGGACCAGGAAGACACACCCACAAGTGCCCTGAACTGGTCCATCCATCTATCCACCCATCAGTGTGCACGTCATTGACACATGTAATGACCTGTGATGAGCAAACTGGTACAGCACATCACTGGTTTATTTTATTGAGGCTGAGCACACACTTAGTCACCAGCACTAATCTGCAGTGTGAGCAGCTTGATGGATTTCTTACTTATGTTAACGACCAGCACCCAGATCAAGGTGTAGAACATCCAGCCCCAGAAGCCCCCTTGTGCCCCATCCTGGTCACTGCCCTCCACCGTCATCGAATGTTGCCTGTTCTCGAACGTTCCATAAACAGAACCGCACAGCGTGAGCCCTGAGTGAATGGACCCTCTACTGTGCATAAAGTCTGCTGGTTCACCTGCATCCACACGGCAGTTTTTGGTGGTAACCACATTAGTGTGTTCAATGTAAATATTAAGAATATTCCATAATTTTTTGGCTCCCCTTTGGCGCCTCTGCAGTTTACCATAAGATAACACACCAGCAGCTTCATAGCTCAGATTATTTCAATCTCCTTGAAAGCTAGTTGACCGTTTAGAGCAGAAATAACAAGGTATTGTGAGGTTCCTAGACACACGGACATAACCGTAGGACAAGAGCACAGGCCCGGAGCAGGTGCAGATCACCACTGCAGGGGTCTGAGGCTGCAGGCGAAGAGGTCTAACGTGACCTGATGGAAGACTGAGATGAGAGGTGAGAGCTGACACCGCACCTGTAAGCAGCCACTGAAACAACACAGCAGAGAGTTACAGCTCTGAGTCAACTAAGGAGAGAAAGTGGACCGAAAAAGACTCAATCTAAAAGAAGGCAGGAAAAGAGGACAAGAGGACATGGTCGAGGGATATGGAAAAGAAATCAAGGAAGACAGACCGGAGCCCACGCACCAACCACGCCTTTAAAGGAAAGCTGTCGAAGCTGGGATGCCGTCACGGGTAACACGCTGTAACCTAAACTGCCGGCCTTATTCAAGGGCACTGGTTTTCCCACTAATACCCTTGTCTATTCCAGGATCCCACATTGCATCTAGTTATTATTTCTTCTTAGTCTTTTCCAACCTGTAACAGTGATTCAGTCTTTTCTTGTTTTTTTGTGGTCTTTTGAAGTGTATTTATCAGTCACTTTGTAAAATGTCTTTCACTTTCGGTGTGTTTGCAGTGCTCTCACAATTGGGATGAGATTGTGAATTTTTGGCAAGAATACCAGAGGAGTGATGCTGTGCTTTTTCTCAGTCTGTCGTACCAAGGGCTCCATGATGTCCATCTGTCTTTTACTGATGATATTAACCTTTGTCACAGAGGTAGGGTGATTTCTGCTGGGTTACCCCCTATAAAGTTATTATTTTTCCCTTTGTAGTTAATAAATATATTGAGGAAGATACTTTGATGCTATGAAAATCCTGAAGGACACTAAGTATGAGGACCCAAGAGGCTAAGAGTAAAGGGATGAAGGAAGACATCCCAAGCTAACTGAGTCAAGAGAAAGCTGGAGTGGCCATGTTAGTGTCAGACAGAGCAGAGTTCAAAGCAAAGAATCTGGGGATAAGGAGGGCCATTTCATAATGATAAAGCAGTCAATTAATCAAGAAGATATAATAATCTGAATATAGGGTATCAAAATGCACAAAGCAGAAACTGACAGAACTGTGAGGAGAAACAGACACATTCACAATTATAGTTAGAAACTTCAACATTCCTCTCTCGATAATTAACAGAGCAACAGACAGAAAATCAGCAACTATGTAGAATACTCGAATTGCACCATCAGCTGACTTGACCTAGCCAAAATTCATAGAATGTCCCACTGAGCGACAGGAGAACACACATTTAAGTACACACATAACAATTATTAACATGGGCCATATTCTGGGCCATAAAATGAGTCTCAATAAACTTAAAAGGATCCAAAAGATACAGAGTATGCTCTCTGACAACAATGGATTTAAATTAGCAATCAAAAACAGAAAAATCTTTGGGAAATCCCCAAATATCTGGAAACTAACCAACACACTTCTAAACTCATGGATCAAAAAAGAAAAGAAAAGGCAAATTAGAAAGTATTTTAAACATAATGGATATGAAAATACAACACATCAGAATTACTGGGATGCAGCTAAAGCAGGACTTGGAGGGAAATGTATAGCACTAAATGCCCATAGTAGAGAAGAAAGATCTCAAATCAGTGAGCTCAGCTTCTGTCTTAAGAAACCAGAAAAAGAATAGACAGTTAAACCCAATGTAAGCAAAAGAAAAAATACAGATCAGAGAGAAAGTCAATGAAAAACAAAAAGGGAAAACAATAGAGAAATCAATGGAACCAACAACTGGTTCTTTGAGAATATCAATAAAATTGATGAACTTATATCCTGACTGACCAGTGAAAGAAAAGAGACACAAATTACCAATATCAGGAATTAGAGACATGACATCACTTCGTAGTCCATATTGAAAGAATAATAACAGAATATTATGAAGACCTTTATGCTGATAAATTCAACAACTTAAAATAAGTGGACAATTCCTTGGGAGATACAAACTACCAAATTCAGTCAAGGAAAAAAAATAACCTCAGAAGCTCTACCTCTATTAAATAACTCAACAACATATAAAAATGGTAACACACGCTGACACTAACCCTACAGTGCTCTGACACTGTGGACCAGTGCTTGCGTGGGGACCAGGATAGGGGTGGGGGGAATACAAAGGCAGAAACTCGGGGTATTTACTACGCTGATTGTAGCGATGCTTTCACGGGTGTACGCAAATACCAAAATGCATCAGATTTAAATATGTGGTTTATCGCATATCAATGACACCACAATAAAATTGTTACAAAGCCCTAGGGATGGCTCAGGTCAAGTGAAGTGCCCCCACCCCCACATTCCCTTCCCTCCTCGGGATGCCCACGCACGGACCCTAAGACACAGGAGGGTGGGGTATGGAGTAGGAGCCCGACCCCACACAGGTGGGCGGACACGAATCCCACTAACCAGCTCTGGAGGCCGCTGGCTTTAGGCCTGAGAGGGACTCACAGCAGGGGCTTCGCAGCGACGCCAGCCCCAGGAGGGGATCCCCCAGCACCAGGCAGGGGCCGGATGGGGCCGGATGGGGCGGGGCAGGGGCGGGGCTCTGTAGCTTCACCGCCCCGCCCGCCCGCAGACCACGCCCACAGCCCCTGACAATCACACCTCTCCTGCGTCTGAAAGCCCCGCCCCAGCCCCGCCCACGACGTCCTCTCAGGCCCCGCCCCCATCCCAAGCCCCGCCCCACCTTGCCTCTACCGCCTCGCCTAGGCCCCTTCCCTCGCCCTCCCTCTCTGAGTCGTCCTGGCCCCGCCCCGCCTTTGACCCGTCCCAGGCCCCGCCCCTCAATTCTCCGGCCTGGCGTCATCCTGGCCCCGCCTCTGGCCAGGCCCCGCCCCTCACTCTCAGGCCTCTCGTCATCCTGGCCCCGCCCCTCACGTTTCTCCAGGCCCCGCCCCTCGCCTTCAGGCCCCGCCCCTGCCCAGGCCTCTCGTCATCCTGGCCCCGCCCCTCACGTTTCTCCAGGCCCCGCCCCTCGGCCCGGCCCCGCCCCGGCCCCGCCCCTCGCCCAGGCCCCGCCCCTTTCCAGCCCCGCCCCGCGGAGCGCAGGCCGAGCCGCGTGTGTCCGAGCCGCGGACTTGGGCGCAGGCTCCCGGGTCGCTGCCGCGCACGGGTGTGGCTCCGGGTCGGGCTCCGAGCGTGAGAGAGCCTCTTGCAGAGCAGCCACCGTACTCGGCCTACAGGTAAAGCCACCGCCCCGCCCGGGAGCCTGGACACCCCCGCCCCCGTCCATCCCCCGCCCGCGGGTCCCGGGGTCTCGAGGGTCCCAGGGTCCCGGGGTCCGAGCCCCGCCCGCGAGGCCCCGCGCGGCCCCGCCGCCCCACGCCCCAGCGCGGGCCGCGCGCCCAGCGCTTGGCTTTTCTCTTTTCTCGTTTTCCTTCTTTTTCAAACATAATGGAGATAAAAGGCGCCGACCCCGGTGCCGGTGCCAGGTGGTTTGTTCCTATCAGGGCCGATGGAGAAGAGCTTTATTTATTACTTAATTTTTAAGGGTTGTGAAAATTAGCAAAGTGCTCAGCTCCTGACAGCAGCCCAGCCCCCGCGGAGACAAGCCGCCCTCCGGGTCCTATTCCTACCCACTGGGTCCGACTCTGCAGCCCGGTCTTCCTGGTTTCCAGCCCCAAGGAGCTCAGAAGGGTGGACCCTAGTCCATCCGTCACCCCCGTGCTGTCCAGGCCCTGGTCCCCTGGGTGTGCAGTGGGTGTGTCCAGGGCGGGGTGGCCGGGTTCCGGACCACTTAGCTCCAAGCCTGCCCCCGGCCCAGCGGTCAGCACGACCCTGTCCTTGCTCTTCTGGGTGGTGTTGGGAGACTCCGGAAATAAGTTACAGAGACCCCCACTGGTCAGATGCTTCAGTTTGCCTGTGACATCTCCTCAAAGTCAAAGTGTGCTGGACCACGGTGGACAATGCTGATTGCTCTTCTCTTTCAGAACTGAAAGAGAACAGTCTTTCCTGGCACATAAGGAGCGAGAGTTTATGTCTTTGTCGGATGGTCACTTGCACAGTGGCGCCGGGGAGTGGGGAAGAGCAGAGATCTGCAGCACTGAGCGAGAGGGGCGTGCCCTCTGTCCCCACACGCAGTCAGATGGGCCCCATGGGCAGGCAGAGCCCCTCGTCCCTGCCGGTCCCCACAGGGGGGTCTTG